GCGGGAGAGCGGCCGGCGGCGGCGGTTGGGATGAGTCAGCCCTGAGGCGGCATGGAGCCCTTCCCGCCGCCCACGGAGGAGGATGAGGAAGACTGGCTTCGCCCGCAGCCGGGCGGCGGAGCCGCTCCGCCCGCCCCGTGTGAGCGTGGGGCCCGGGCGGACGGCGGGGCGGGGAGCAATGGCGCCGGCGGAGCCGCGCAGCGGAGCCCGCGGCCGCCGCGGTGATCTGGCCCCGGTGCTCTGAGTCGGTTCTTCCCCGGGCAGGGGCTCCGCGGCCGGGGCAGGCGGCTGGGGCGAGGGAAGGTGGAGTTGCCCCGCCGGGATGGAAAAGCGGGAGCTGCGGGGCGAGCAAAAAAAAATAAAACGCGAGCTCTTTGTGGGCGAGGAGGGCAGAGCCTCTCCTCGGCAGCCATCGGCCTGCCTTGTCTTTTCAATTAGTTCTGCGGTCCTCTCGGTGACCGCTTGGCTCCTCCGCTTAGGGCAGGAGACCTCAGCAGGCGTTCAGAACAGCACCCCCAAAACAGCACGCTGAACTAATGGGGTTTTTTTTTTCATCTTACAGAAATAAAAGCCTCCACCCCTTTGGTTTGTTTGTTTTTTTTTTTTTAAATTACTTTCTTTTGCCTTTTTTAACTTGGCCTTGTTTTCGTAGCAGGGTTTGCTGTTTGTTGGATGGTGATTTGCGTCTCCGTTGGCCGCCCCTGGGAAAGACGGAGGATATCTGGTAGAGCTATCCTAGCAGAGTTGAAGACAGATTATTTTACAGAAATAAAAATACTTTTCAGTGTTCCACTGTGAAAGGATATCTTATCAGCTAAGCGATGTTCTAAAATGGCTCAGTGAAAAACAGATACAACTGTACCTCTGAAAACGGGAGTGTTTAGTAGTAGGCCGAGTTGCTATGGATGACTTAGGCTCATAAGTAATCCTAGAATTAATGCAGCACTAGAATTAGTAAAAAACTTGTACATTTTGTGTTCTTCTTGTAACATCTGTTTCTTAGTGTGAATTAATTAAAAAAAAAAAAAGTGATGTGTAAGGCGGCTTGTAATTTTTAACCTGTTCATTTACTTTCCTTGCAGCAGGCCACAGCAAGTCTGTATCGGCAAGAAGCACAGCATGCAGAGTGATCGTGCACGTTGACTTGGACTGCTTCTATGCACAAGTAGAAATGATCCGTAATCCTGAATTAAGAGACAAGCCTTTAGGTACGAGTTACTTTGCTGTTAATTTGGAGATAATGTGTATTCAGGCAGAAGAAACTAAGGTCATGAATAAACTAAGGACGTGCCTGTGTGGTGAGATTCAGGCAGGCACAGCGGAGCTGTAACCACATCCCGAGTGAGCAAGATGCAGTCTAGACTCCGTGTAGCTGTGACTGCAACATTAATACATCCTCCTGAGCACAAGTACAGGCGCTTGCCGACGTGTCTGAGCAGTTGTGCGGATTGAAGCTGGTTTATAACGTACACAGGCAGGGAGAGGGCTGAGCCCCATAGATGAGCCTTCTGACACAGTCATGCTTAAAGCATGCTTTATTCCATCCAGTTGGAATAAAGTTAAGAAGTTAAGAACGAACACGAGGCAGTCAGTAGTATCTACGATCAGTGGAGAAAGTACATCATAAAATGACTGTTGCATAAAGAGCACTTTCAGGAGTAAGATTGCCTGGAAAGGCCCAAAATTAAGAGCGATATTGCAACAGGGAAAAACATCTGTAAGGTTTTAAAATGTTCTTACCGTCCAGTATACATCAAGAGATCTGTCCTTCTCATAGTCCTGTAAAATAGGACTGTTGTGTTGGTTTGTTTGCTCATTCTATGATGTTGCAGTCTGATCAAAGCATATGCTTCGCAGTCTTTGCAGTGGCATGAAAGTACTGTGGTCTTCCGTGAAGCACCACGAAACCTAAACTTAAAACACATTCAACCTCCATTTTTAGGTGTGCAACAGAAATACATCGTAGTTACCTGTAACTACGAAGCCAGGAAACTTGGAATTAAGAAAATGATGTCTGTCAAGGATGCTAAAGAGAAGTGTCCTCAGCTGATACTGGTTAATGGAGAAGATCTAACCCCCTACAGGGAAATGTCATACAAGGTTACAGGTACAAAATTAACAACTTTTCAGTAGAGGAAAAACGCTGTCTGTTAAACTCTGTGTGCACGTGCACACGCGTGCAGTAGTACATGATGTTTTCCTGCTCCAAAAGATCTTACTAGAATGAGCCTCATACCATGGCAATAATACTTACGGTCGTACAATGTCAATATTTCATAAAATAAGCTATTAGACTTGGTTGCAGTCTGGATCAGGCACTATAAATGTATCATACTGATGTTATAGGGGATTTGTATGCTATGTTAGGATTACACCCATGTAGTTCTTTAGGAGCAATTTTTCTTATTTAAATACTGACTGCAGTAATACGTTTCCAAATGTGAAGCAATGGAGGACAGAATGCTGAAGCCTTCGAGCAGGTGAACTTCTCCAGTATCTCTTTATTGTTAGCAGTGTTAGCAGGTGAAATAGTAATAACTTAAAAGTGAAAGCCCACCTATCTGGGAAACAGATTTCCTTAGGAGAAAGTACTGCAGAGGTTAACAACTATAATTTCAAAAAGAAATGAGGAAAGAAAGAAGAGCTTTGGGGAAAAGAGAAGCAGATGCCAGAGGTAGTTGTGGGATGAAGAAATATTCCCCTTCTTCACCTTTGCTAAAATAAGTGCCTTATTATTTTATCTGGAAGAGAACATGGTTTCTATTCATGGAATCATCCTACTTGAATCCATGGGGAATCAGCTGTGGGTTGATGCAGACATGAAAACCTCACGTTATTTAGTTGTGTGCATATTATCCTTGGGTATCTTTTCCTCCTAGAGTTGTTGGGGGAATTTTGTCCACTGGTGGAAAGGCTTGGGTTTGATGAAAATTTTGTGGATATCACAGAGATCGTAGAGAAAAGACTAAATCAGCTACAGCAAAGTGGATGTTCCAGAGTCTGTGTGTCTGGCCATGTGTACAACCACCAAGGTGAGTTAAACATGTTGAAAAATATGGTCAACGTTTGTGAAGTTCAGTACAAAGTATCTGTCTGCTTCTAAGTATTGTCCAGAGCTGAACAGCTGGAAACGTGTGTTGCTCTGTGCTTGGTTTCCATATTTGAGAGTACATATCACAAATGTTAATCAGCATTCCAGTTAGATTGTATATAAAAAAAAAATCTCTGCAGCAGATAAGCATGTACAATGATTTGGCAGAAGAGATTTTCATTGTCCTTTTTTTTTTTTTCTTTAAAGTAGTTTTACTGTAGTAAGACACAGAATTTTGTTTCAGCTTGAACGTTGTTGTCAGTTGGCAAAATTGAGTGAGTTTCTTGGTGAAGAAAAACAAACAGTAAATTTTTGCTGCAACCATTAGGTCAGGAATAGACTTACTGAGACTAAAGTAGCTAACTGAGCTGCTTCATACATTGTGAATGCAATAGCTATGCCATGATACTCATTTCATGCACTAGGAAGAAAAGCGGTTGTTTTTCTCCTGGACTTTAAGCTATTGCAATGGCTTCGAATATGGTTTGGAGAGGAGGGAAATGCCTGAATAGTCCTTTTCCTCATTTGGCATTTGCATGTGAGTAATAAAGGCTTAGCTGCAAGGCAGCCCTCTAAACGGAAGATTTGTAAATCTCTACTTTGGTCACGTTGGTACAAGAATCTGTGATATTTAACACTTTTCTTTGACATCCCTTAACATATTGTATTTTATATTTAAAATACTCCCTAAACATTATGCTTCCTGGACAGCATGCCCCTGGTTTTGGACAGCAGCAGTCTCCCTTTTACCAGGGTTTTTGGGAGATAGGAGTGAAGTTAAACTTGGATACAGAAGCCATGGCAATACCACCTGACCCATGAGACCATACTTTCTTGTACTGCTTTAATGCAATGCGAAAAAATTCTGAATCTAGAGAATTAGTTAACTAGGTGACTGTTTACATACTGAACACTGCTTTCTTTTTCTTTGCAGCTATCAATTTGCTTGATACAACGCATGTAAGACTAGTTATTGGATCTCAGATTGCAGAGGAGTTCAGGGAAGCCATATATGCGAGACTGGGCCTCACAGGCTGTGCAGGAGTGGCCTCTAACAAATTACTGTCTAAACTAGTATCTGGGACCTTTAAACCAAATCAGCAAACAATTCTTCTGCCTGAAAGCTGTCAAGATCTAATACGCAGCCTTGATCACATCCAAAAAGTGCCCGGTAAGTATGGTGCTATGAGCATAGATGGAGAGCATATTGACAACTCATAAGATGGTAAGAAAAAATACTGAAAAAATTATAGCTGCAATAATTTTAAAATCCAGTTCTCACAAGGAGGCAGCAGGGTGTGCGGGTGTGTGTTCAGGGTGCTTTCTATTTTTTCATAAGCTGTTTGAGTTTTGTTCAACAGAAGCAATGAAAGGACTTTGGTTTTCTGAATTTTCGGCTGTGACATAAATGTGTGGCAGTGCTTTACAAGGTACCTTCAAAAATACTAAAATCTCTGTTTGTTTTTATTGAAGCCCAAACGCTGTGGTTGATACTAGGTTTTAAATACAAACTTTTTTAAACTTGCTGATTGGAAACCTACTGATAGTTACTAAAACAGTCTATTGGAGCCTGATAGAATACTCTGAGGAAGTTTTATATTTCCTAAATTTCCTAGAATATTTCCTAAATATTCTGCACTGGCACTGTGCTGTTGGCCAGGAAGCATTGATGTAGGCTACAGACACAGGGAGATTTTTGCTGTGTCCCAGTATGGCTTTTCTAATGGCAGATTCTGAAACTCGAATGGAAACTCAACGAAAACGTTGCTGAAAAGCGTGCATTGCAGTAGGGAAAATAATTGTCAGTACTACGTGGGTGGGCATTTTTTATATATATGGTTTGGGTTTTTTTTTTCACTTTTCTGTGTATTTTTAATACACATTTTATTTAGGCATTGGCTACAAAACTACAAAACGTCTTGAAACACTGGGTGTTAGGAACGTGTGTGATCTCCAAGCATTTCCGTCTGCTGTGTTAGAGAAGGAACTAGGTGTTTCTATCGCTCAGCGTATCCAAAAACTCAGCTATGGAGAAGATGACTCCCCTGTGACTCCATCAGGCCTTCCTCAGGTACAAGTATCGTTCTGAAGCACTTTATAAGGAGCAAAAAAATTGCTTTTAGTTTTATGCAGCTTTGCTGGACTAACCAAAATGATGCATTTTTGTATGTATTCTCTAGTACAACTCAAATTAATGTGTAATTCTCGTGAAATTCAGTTGAGCTTTGAGTGTCAAAGATATCTTGGTGTTAATTCTACACGCTTAATTGTGATACTTTTTTTCCTCTTCAGAGTTTTCAAGTAAATATAAAATTGAAAGGAGTAATGTGGTTTTTTAGTCCTTTAGTGATGAAGATTCCTTTAAAAAATGTTCATCAGAAGTGGAAGTTAAAGAGAAAATCGAAGAACTGCTTCCTAACCTATTAGACAGGTGACTTGTCTTCAGTAGCTCTTTTTGATGACTTAAATTGTGACCTGAAGGGACTTGGAGCATATGTTAGGTTTGTCTCATACTCTGCATTTCTTCTCTCAGCAAAATGCATTTATAGGACAGCACCTGCCTCTCCAACTTACCCTTCAGTCTTTTTTTCTCAATTCATGGATTGTCCTGCTGTATTGCTCCACTTTCCTCTTGTCCCCATCATCTGTCTTGCCCCCAGGCTGGCTGCCAGCCCTTCCATTCCTATGCAGCTTCTCTGATAAGGACCTTTGCATATTCTATTTGCTCATCCTTCTCAGTTGCTGTTGCTTTGGTTGTGCATCACAGTATTTAGTACATCTTCACTAATTTCTGTGAAGGAGCCTAAGTTTTCTTTCCTTAAGTGACTTTCTCTACTTTCACACCCTTGGTGACCACCATTATGCATGTCTGCTGTTCCACAGCTTGCTTTTCTGTCAGTCTGAAAGAACATTTCACTCACAAAATTTGAAGTGAGGCTCTTTGTCCTATCTTGTTTACAACATGTAGAATTGACAAAATCTTTTTTGTACAGAAATACATCCTCCCTACCCCTCAATGCCTTTTGGAGGGGGAAAGAAACAATTACATACTCTTAACCTTCTTCCAAAAGCCAGCAAACCTTTTGCTGCTAAAGTGGGTATGTTTCCTTGAAAAGCAAAAAGAAGACCTAAAAGCTGAGGATTATACAGGGTATAACTGCAGACTATACTACTTTTAATGTATTAAATATTGAAATGTGGCAGTATTGCAGACTGACCCACTTAATTTTCACATTCACTTCAGGTGAAGGCTCCTGGAGACAGTATTCACATTGTATTGAATTTCTAACTTCTGGGTAATTACGGGAAGCAGCTAGGACCCAAAGTTCCCTGTATAATCAGTGGAGTAAGGCTAGAAGTTGGGAGAGATCTGTAATGCTTAATTTGACTTTGTAACCTAGATGCTGTGTGTTTCCATGGAGCCTCTGAAAAATACTCATAGTAATACTTACTGCTTTGTGCACATTAATGCTCCACAGAATATACAAAGATGGAAGACAACCACACACAGTGAGACTGACCATACGCCAGTTCTCCTCAACCGATAAATGGTTTAATCGGGAAAGTCGTCAGTGTCCTATTCCGCCTCATCTCATTCAGAAATTTGGGAAAGGTAAACTTAGAATTTTTGAAAGTATCAACTTTGTGCTACTACCACCTAACTTCTCTGTAAAATTCCGTTACTTAGTGTTATGATAATATTCCCTACACTTCATACTTGGAAACTTTTCCATTACTTGTAATGGATGTATCTTGATGAGGTGTGCTAAAAACGTATAGAACTTCACTGTAGGAATAACTTCTATGTTACCACCATGTTTTAACCCAGTCCGGCTGGATTCCTGGCAGTAAACTTCTTGGTGGGGTGGGAATGTGCAACTGGGGGCTGCTTCCCAGATTAATAATCTGCTTTTCTAGGTTAGGGATTTGAATTATGTTCTCAGTTTTATTATGTAATAAAATGTCTTTTTGATGTACCTCTGAAAATTAATAACATAAAGGCTCTCATCCTTCTCAGACTTAAGCTTTCCAACCAGTAGTGGCAATTCATTTGACACTTCATTCAGATTGGGGTGAGGAAATAAATCTGAATCACTGCTGCATCAGCACACAGAATCACTGTTCCCTGACTTCAATTCCTGAATTACTTCTCACAGTCCTAGAGAAGCTATTGAAAGTCTCTGTACCTTCTCACTTCAAAATTGCTACTGGACTTCTACATTGGAGGAGACAGTTACTGTCAGCTCATATAGTCATGCAAACTCCATTAAACCATGTTGTTATTACCTGTGTTGGGGTAATGTTACACACCTACATGGCTCTGTAAAGGCCCTTTTTAGTAGAATTGGATCATTTTTCAAATCTATTCAGCTTGGCTTTATTCTGTAATTCTTCCTTTCTAATCTAAGTCAATCTTCACAGGTGTGAAATTAAGCATTTTTACTGGAGGTAAAGAAAAAAAAAAAAAAAGCCTGTTACTCAGTTCAGGACATACTTGACAGGGCAGAACAAACATCTTCCTGACCATACTGACCCATTATTTTGGAAGCCTTTAGCAGCGTTTAGAGTTTAATACTTCAGGAATTCATGTTTTGAGATGAATAAAGGTTTCCTTAGTGTGTATAAATGGAGTTACAAATATTCTCATGTTGCTAAGAATAGCACTGTATTTTCAACTTCTTCTATTATGACTGATCTCTTACTTTTGTGTACATGCAAAATGTTGAAAGTTCAGAATGTGAAGTTAGAAGATTACCTTTGTATTTTGCTATTTAAGTCAATCTTAGTCAGTTATTTTTGATTATATACATTGGGTTTTTTCAACCTTTTTTCTTTTAGAAAGCAGCAGCGTCCTATCTCCAATGGTTGATATACTAATGAAACTCTTTCGAAAGATGATAGATGTAGATCAACCATTTCATCTTACTCTTTTGAGTGTCTGCTTCTCCAACCTCAAAGATCTTCCTAGCAGCAAGAAAGGATCAATTGGTTTCTATCTAAAGCAGGTATCACCTCCATCAGGCTCTGGTAAACGTGTTCAGGTAAGCTGAAAGATACTGAAAACTATCTGCAGATAAGAAAGTTCTGAGATATTTCTGTCTTTATTATATAGATTTAAATCTTAACTGCTTTGGAATTTTTTAGGATTGTAAGTTTTATTCACCTGGTAAAAATGAAGATTTATTTGGAGTCTTCTGAGCAGGTGTTACTTGTTCACTTTCTTTCATTAGACAGACTGCTTAAAAGAGATTTAATACTGTCTTGAATGGGACAGCCAGCTAGGTTATCAAGCCCCTTAACTGAAGAGAACAGAATTCACTAAGGAAGAAATCCAAACTTATTTCTTCTAAAAAATAATTGCTGAATTTGGCTGTTCAGTAAGATCTGCCCTTTTAGCATTCGTGGAACAACAGGCCACTTACTCAGATATTGTCATACTAAAGCATTTTTTACCTTGGACTAAAAGCTCCTTAAAGTTGCTTATCATTTACCTTGTTGCTTTTATTAAGATACTTTCACAGTGATTATTTACCTTCCTATGCATTCTCAAGTCTCCCTGTTCAGACTAGAAATTAATCAAAGATTCAATTCTGTATTGACCACTAGCTTCAGATCTAGTGAGCTTCTAATTCCTGCTCAGAATTGGAACAAACCTCCTACCTCCCAGCTCCATATGCTAGACAGTGTAGGAGCTGTCTGTGAAAACACTGCTAAGTATTTCCACCAGATGCTTTCAGTACATAATACGGAAACTTAGTAACTTCAAAATTGTGTTGTGTAACTGTTTCTGTATTGACATAGCAATTTTGCATATTGATAAACTTGTCTATTTCTCAACTGCTCAGGACTATGATGGATAACACCATAATGTGTGTTCTAAAGCTCCAGAGTTTTAAAGCAGTAAAGTGTAACTTCAAGGTATTTGCTGCTTTTAAATAAGAAAAGCATTCCTACATGTATGTACTTTTCAAGGTCTGTGCTTGAAAATAATATTTAAAAAAACACTACTGATTGTAAGGGAAAAAAAATTACTCTCTGTTAAGGAATAATTTGAAGAACTTGCTGTTAGTAAAACAGTGCTTTGTCACTGGTCGATTACACAGAACATACTTATGCTTTTATGTACTTTTTTTTGCCACAGGAAGTGGAAGGTGTCTCACAAGGTGAGGGAAGTGCTTCTTGGAACCAGAACTGCAACAGAACTGGAACTACAAAAACTAGGAAACTTTCAGAGGAAAAGAAAAGCAACATAAAAAAAGCAGGAATTCCTGACTTCCCATTTTATTTGTCTCCTGGTGACATTGACCAGGAAGTCTTTAGGGAACTTCCAGAAGATATTCAAAAAGAAATTATTTCTGAAAAACCAGAAGCAATCCCTACTGAGGATGTTTCAGGTCAGCCATCAGTATATTTTGCAGAAGAGGTGCACAGCACTTCCGCAAATTCTAAGGGACTAAACAGTGATACACACGCTACAGGGTGCAGCATACATCTCACGTCAGCTCATGAATCTGTAACTGTTCTGGCACACAGCTCCAAGGCCAGTTGTTCTTCTGAGTGTCCCAGAAGTGCACTGACAAGCAGCAGTATGGAAAAACAATCTACTGACTCTCTGAACTTCAGAGGGAAAGATCTGTCATCTCTGGAAGCTGGAGCCAGCCAAACTATTCTGCGTGTCCCTGTCTTGGATAAAGATAAGCAGGCCTTTCAAACAACTTCTATGCATAAAACCTATAGTAGGCAAGCAGGAACTGTATTTCCTCCTAACGTTGACACAAAGACTTTTTATGAACTACCTGCAGATGTGCAAAAAGAACTACTAGCTGAATGGAAGAGGCAGGAACCTGTGTCCAAAACTTCTACGGATAAACCCCCTGAAAAACCTAAAACAAGTAAAGGAAGAAGGAATATGGCACCATGTTTATCACAGTCTAACAGTTTGCTAAAATATTTTAAACCACAGTGAAACATTTTTCATAATAGTGACACTATAAGAATCAGCACTTGAAGGCACTTTAGTTATGAAAAGTTTACTATAAATTGTAAAGGTGTGAATATTAAAAATATATTTTGACAACTTCTGACATAAAACTTGCTGGTGACTGTTTAATTAGTCATTAGTCTGCCTTATTTTTCTTTCTTATAAATTGACATTTATCTGATGAATCTTTAGTTGTCCTAAAAATATAGTATGCAAACATCTTTCAGTATTCACTATTAATACCTTAACACGTTGACTGGGGGAAAGGAGTGTTTACTCTAATTTTCATTGAGTTATACTATGTATGCAGTTACTTGGGAGGGGATTGAGCAGAGAAGATGAAAGCAATATTCACACTGTTCTATAATTTGCACCACTGTTTCTCTGATTTGTGATGGAAATTACTATTCACATGGCTATCACTATTTCCAGCAGTTAACTCGTAACTGGATGTACTAGAAATACTAAGGGGTAATGGGAAACATTACTTCCAAATGAATTGTATCACCAGCTTGTTCCTGGAAATTAGTCAGCATATGAAATTGTTTAGGTTTTGTACTCAGGATTCAGCAAATGACAAACAACTCTGTGTATAAAGAGCAGCTTTTAATGAGATGCTATATACAAATTCATCAGGCTTTTCTTGACATATTTAATTCCAAAACAGTGAAATAGTTGCTCATTACACTTGCACACTTACAGTTAATAAAAATGTTTAAAGTCTCTAGCACACGAGATGTTTGCTTGTTTCAGTCAAGAGTACATAATTGAGGTAAGACTTTATCAAAATGTGTTTAAAGCTATGGCAAAATATTTGACTACTGTATTTTAACATTGTTATAATTTATATCACCAGACTCTTGCATGTGTGTGTATATATATTCTCTGCATATAAAGTGCAAAAATATTACAAAACATCACCTGATTACATTGAAAGTGACATCCTGTTCTTTGATGGCACTTCAATGTAAATTCTTGCATCATTCCCAATAACAGAGAAAACCAGCATTCACCATTTTAACAGTTAAGCTTTATGTATTTCCACATAAACCACAATTAAAATAAACTTCTCCATCTACTTTAAAAATGAATCCAAGTAAAAGATGCATGTGACTTAAGTTCTTATTATTTTCCACTTACGTTTAATCATGGTCTTTCAAGCCTTTCAGTCCAGCTCTTGTTTCAGTGATTAAGTTTATGAGAGTAGTAGGTAATGCTGTCTCCACTACAGAACTCGGAAGCATTCCTCCTAGTTCTGGCTGAATAAATACAACTAGCTTAGAATGCTCTGGATTCCTGTGATGAAAGGAGCAAAATCCTTCAGTTAACACTTGTTACTCTTGCTATGAAACTTAGTGAGATGTACGAATGTTTACAATTCATAGTCCATCTCTGTTGAAATTACTAATACAGAAAAGTGGAAGTTTCAATTGTTTCAAAAGATAGTCTGAGTCACAAAACCGATCTGCACAAAACTCAAAAGTTCCCCCAGAATAAAACAGCCTAAATAAAATGTTAAAAAAAAGCTGTGTGGTTCAGTAAGTTTTAAGCTTTGCATAGAGAAGACAACCAAGTAACCAAAGATGCTATAAGAGGGCTAGAAATACTTACTCGGGCAAAGGTGAACACACATATCCACAGGGATTGTTATAGCCTCGAACACAAGAGGGAGTTGGAGGGCAGCTGGAGTATTCCACGCTGACAGCTGTAAGTCACCATGCACACAGAAAAAGCAAAATCAAATTAATTTTGTTTATATATGTCAATCATACAACTCAAAAATACTTTTTAAAAACAAACTCCTCCAACTACTATAGGATAGTACAAGATCTCGCAATACAGTTGCTGCTGTGTTTAGCAATTCCATTCTGTACGTGAAACACCTAAAGGACATTAAATATTTGTGCAAGTAATTCAATACATGTAAAAATTTCTATAGGTGTTTGGGAAGACATACCCAAAAGTATTATCCTTGAGATGTGATTACATATACCTAAGTGTTGAGGTGTGGCTTAGTTCTGGACAAAGAAGTTAGTTTGTCAGCAGATGCCATTAATTAGTAAATGGAATTGCAGAGATGAGGAAATTGCTGCACACATGCACAATAGTAGTTAGGAGGGGTTCTTTTGTTTAGTTATCCATTACTTTTGCATAATAAAGTATTCTAAGAATATGGCTTGAAAAATACCGATAGGTCAGTAAAGTTCCAAGATGAAAAATGTTGTTTTCGGCCATGTACTAAGATCCACACAAAGGAAAAAGATTAGCACGGAAATGGAGCAGCAGTGAGAGATTTTCCTGGTTGGCCATATAGTTGTAATATTAATCATTTTACATTTTGTATAAGTTTACAGAGCCAAACTCGAGGAGAATCAAATATGGGGCAAATTAGCAATTCACTCAGAGAATAGCATATTAGGCAAGTAGCATCTGGTCAGGAAGCCATCCAAGTACAGAAAAGTGTTATTAAATAAACACTGAATTTATATAGTGAAATAATAAATTCTAGCTTCCTCATACTACTACTACATTTTTTTCAATTTTTCAAAGAGAGGCATAATAGGAGAATAAACAGTATTTTCTTCAAAGATCAATTTTTATAGTTTCAGTACTAAAAAAACCCAACAACTTTGTTTTGGGGATAAACAGGAGGGGACTGTTAAAATCAGTAAGACCACACATGAGCAAGGTACATGATACTATGATTAGGCTGTAGAACTTACTACAGCCATTCACCTTAGGATTTCCAGAACGCAGCCAAAATACAAAAGCGTTAAGTAGTTACATGCAACTTACAGTTAGTTGTAAGGATATCACCAGGGTATGGTTTAACATGCAGCAGGTCAACAAAATCTCTTGATGATATCAGTCCCATACCATAACTGTGTGTTACACTGTGGTATATACCAGTGTCCTACAAGTAAGTAAAGGTAATTTTTTGAATTAGTATGTCAGAAGCTAAGTTTTATTTACTTGGCAAAGCAGCATTACATGTTGAATAATGAGTGTGTGGCAAAAAATGGATTCCTATTTGTTAGCAAAAGACAACAGTTCTTGTAACCTAGTTAGTGCTGAACTAACATGAGAGCCATGAAGGGGATCTTCCAGTAACACAGGGTAGGGATTCACTGCCATGCCTTGTGCCCTAGATTTGAGGCAGGAGTATAGTTTCTGTGTGGAAGAACTCAAAATGTGCACGTTTAGTATCCACATTTGGTGGAGCTAGAATGCCTATTTGCATTAAAATACACATGCTAGATTGCACATTGTATTCTAGGACAAAGATGTATAATCTGTTAAACTAAATCAGTTCCAAAAAAAGCTAAGAAGATGTGGTTGGATGTACCACTACTACTAACATCTGACCAACTCTAGCAGATCCAGGCAGAGGAAAATGAGAGAGAGGTTCAGGTAAAACAAAAAAGGGAGGACTTCTCCCCTTCCCACCCCCACCCCTTGGTTTAGGGAGTACTTTCACACACTTGAGTCATTCATACCCATGTAATATGTTCTGAGACCTCCCTCCATCTCTCTCAAGTGGTTAGATCAAAGCCGGCTAACACAGGATGATACTCTTCATGGGAATTTGGAGTTCTGGGTTTCCAGAGTGCCTGAGACAAAGCCCCAAGCAACTGGAATTCAGAACATACAGGATTTCACAGCACTAGTACAGCATCAATTCAATTTCCATGCTGCCTTTAACTTTGGTGATTTTTTTTAACGTGTGTAAACTATGCTTACTGAGAGGGGAGCTTTCCCTACATTTTGTTGTCATTGTGTCTCACCCTACTCTTGATGGAGACTTCTGTTGTTTTCCGTGGACTGAATTCTTGGCATGTTTGAGGACATTTATTTCATAATAAATATTTAAATTTACCCTAACTTTTAAATTACCCTCAATATTTAACTCCTAAGGGGAAGGACACGTTTCATACCCATTTCACATAAGCAGCAGGCTTAGAAGTTTTTACTGACCCAGAACGTATTTTGCAGAGAGCTTTCTTCATCCAGGTAGAGGTCTTTTTAGTCACCATAATTCATGCAGAAAGAGTTAAAATAAAATCTTTGCATTAAATTATTGCATTACCTGGTCAATCCTTTCTAACAGCTTGTAAGATTGTAAAGCTTTGTCCCATTTGTTTCGATATTCAGGAAGATACATAAAAGGAATAATTTTACTAGGGACTTCCTTAATTATCCCTTCTCCACGGTATCTAGATTGTGTAAAAAACAGATATTGAATTCACATTTATAAACTGGAAAAGTAAGTTATACAATAATAAGCATCTAGCAGTTGGGGATGCCAGGCTATAATCACGTAAAGCACATGAATGTGATTGCACTTGATGGATTGATTAAAATTCAAGTAGTAATAAAAATTATTATTCTGCAACTGATTTTTGAGACCATTACATTCTTGGCACCACACATTTTAAATTAATTATTTGTGAGCTATTAGGAACCTGTTCATTTAAAAACATGCAATTAATCTATTAATTTATTTTTTCTATTTAGATACTTTCAGTCCATTTTGACACTGACTGCAAATCTTCTCACTGTTTATGAGCTAGCATATTCTGGCATTTCTCCAGCTTTTGTTCATAATCTTCCAAGGAGTTCAAGGGAAAGTTCACAGAGGGGAAGAGGGGCCTCTCACAAGGAAATACGAAACTCCTGTAATGCTGGGAACTGCTCACTAATACTGATAGTTCTCACACCTAGTTCCTGGAGAAACTGTGAATCACTACAGTAAGCACCCACAGACAGCAATTAAAAGGTGAAGGATTAAAAGCAAAGGTGAAGGATGCTGCATGGTGACAGATGAGCTCAAAGGAGACTATGATTGCAAACAGTTTAAGAAACATGAAATCAGATTTACAGACCCTGATGATGCATGAGTGTAAGTCAGAAAGAGCGAAGACAGCCAAGCTCAAACCCAAACACTGAGGCCCTGTAAAATCATGGGTCTGTTTCCTCACTCTGCAGCAACTCTTGTCACCACTCGCTGCCTTGGTGGAGCGCGCACAGTGTGGGCGCATATGACTACTCCAGAAACTCGCTTCTCCACTAACTATAGCAGGTCCGATGGTGACAGAAAACATTTTAACGCCTACTCAAAAACAGCGAACGTAAACCGTGGCAGGACCAGTTAAAATCGGCATATTAATATATGGATACACCCTTTATTTCCTAACTCCCATGAATTTATGTTTACCAATCTCCTAAGCAGCTCTCGTCTGCATCCTGTAATATCTTCTCTCCTAAACTCAGTGTGAGTTGTTAATCGGAAGGACTTCTTCTAGGCAAGGCTTCTGAAAGACACAGTTGCTAGAATAAAAGAAAGGGCACACTTGTGAAAAATCTCAACTTCCAGTTTTTACAGTGGATTATTGGGAACACTGGAAAAAGAGGAAGTAAGCCTGGTAAAGACCACCCAGATCACCAGATCTAGTCTCCCTGTCTTAGACAAACTAAAATACATACCTCATTGTCTTTCCTGAGCTTAGGTGACATAATTCCAAATTAAATCCTATTCAGCCTTGAACAATCACCTTAATGCTTCTCTGAACTCTCCTGAAAGTATTTCACCTGACTGAAGCAAGGATCTCTATTGCTTTTCACTTCCAGATCCCATACTGATTTCTTTTAGCAAGTAAAGCAAACTGTTAATACTCCTGCCAATCAAAAAAGAAACTGGCATTTGTGATATGCGGTTAATAAATATTCAATGTCAAACTGAAAATGGGAACAGCTATACTCTTGCTCCTAGAAACAGCTAGTATTCCTTCACAGAAGACACACTAGGGACCAGTACTGCTTGTTAATGTGACAAAGACTTGTACAAAAGATAAACGAATGAAAGATTCTGGCTCCCTGTACCAAATGGCAGAAAACATGATGATGCTTCTCCTAACTGCAAACGACTTGCTGCATACAGATCTGAATACAACTGAAAATGGCTTTGTGCCTGACTGAGACTATAGCATATCTTTTGTCCTCCACAAAAAGTCAGGCACATTCTTGTGAATTCTAAGCAACCAGACTCTCAGTCCCTCACATCTACCTGTATTGAAATAAGATCTGAAATACAATAATAATGCCACATACAAAGTATGCAAATTATTAAGATAACAGTACTTTTAACATATTCTAATGAAATATTACACTATTTTCCATTATAATACTGTAGAGTAATTCTTCTGTAATATTAGTGATAAAGCATTGTCGTCTTTAATACCTTTTTGCTCAAACCTTCAGAAATAATTAGAAAACCAAGTAAGACTTGGATTAAAATACCACTAATCACAAACATCTCATCATCTCGAGAACAAAAAATAATCAGATGCAAATTTTCTCTACTGCCTATCTGTCTATATTGGCATTTAATATCATTTAATACTCATTAGGCATTAAAAAAAAAGAGAGAAAGAGAGAAGCTAAGGACATGTTGCAAGTGTCCTCTTTTCCTCCGCTTTTGCACACTTCAGTGAGATTTTTCTTCTTTCCCCCAGTTTAATGAGCTGAATCAGCTTGGTAAAGACTCAGCTGAGTGCCACTGCCACCATAAAGGAGAAGCAGGATTGCAGAGCCAGGAGAGGAGTAGGGAAGAGGAGGGGAGGAAAACAAAGAGTAGAGCCAGTGCTATCAGTGACAGCAAGCTGTGAGATCAGCTTAGTCTGCCTCGCCTAACTCTGCCCTGTGGGCCAAATCTAGCTGCTTAACAACAGCACGGAATTCATCGCTCAGGAGAAGGAAGGACAGATGGAGTTGCTGCTGCAGAGATTATATGACCTTCTTATCTCAGTACAGTTAATTCAGTTTCAGGTGCCAGAAAGAAAAAGGTACAAAGGACAGATAAGGTAGAGCAAGAGCGTAAGCATGTCTGCATGTGTGAGTATCAGTCATTTCACAAGTATGAAGGCGTGAAAAGCAAAGTCCAGCTGATAAGATGTAATGGCTTGAATAGAATATTCCACCAGGAAGAGTCACTGACTTCAGGCCAAAACTGTGACTTCATACCTACTTATTCCATATTAGTAAGTGTTATATAGTATTTAATTTTCATAGCACATTTGAAAATTGCTTGGGAAATCCATCTCTCTTATTCCAGCCCTATTGCTTACCCAGTGTAACTACAGCGCAAAATCTTCTCTACAGCTAATAAAACTAAACTTAACACTTCCATGAAGGACAGAACATGGTTAACTTTTCCATTTCAACCTTGGGTGTCACTGTTCAAAAAAGATGTTGTTATTCATTACAATGACAAACAAAATGTAAATACTTACATATTTCCTGCATACTCTTTTGAAGGCTTTGAAGAAACTGTAACATTTTTCTCAAAGTAGAAAAAGGAAAAATAAAAACTTAGCAGTTGATAAAGAGTTGTCAACTAATTTTAAAGGAAACACTTTTTGCAACAAAACATATTTAATAAAAATAACTTCATAAACAATATTAACTAGTATTTTCTTACTGAAATTTTTATCACTCTCCATCCTGAAGTATCTTGACTGTACGACAAAATTTTTTCTGAAACTTCATCTGCAATTTTCTTATAGTCCATTTATCTGTAAAGATTTAAAAGCAATTTGCTGGCATATGATAAAAGAATTCCTTAAAGAGCAAAAAACATAGGGCTCATTCCTGTATTCTTTCCACAGCTTTTAGTATACATTAACTGACTATTTCTATCAAATGAACTTTTTATTCATCATATTCAATTTCGGAAAAAGATAGTTATTATTTAAACAAAATTATGTAATTGACTTCCAGTCTGGGCTACTGAGAAGCAGCCACTGGTGTGGATCTTGAGAATGAATTACAGCATCCAGAGAGACACACCGTTCACTCTATACTAAATCCACCATTACTCCCCATTAAAACTTCCACTCCTTATACAGTTTATCACCTGAGATTCTGATTCTGCCATGATTTGCAAAAGTCACTAGACTAGCAACCAACTTGTGTAGTTAAAACACACGAGGCTCAAACAATTGAAGAGAGATTTTTCTTACATCAGAGCTTTATGCAACGATCATTATAGGCTGCGCTACTGTGGAAAGTCTTTGGTGAGTGAGAGGCCTGGCTCTAGCAATCGTGCAGCAGCAAGGCTGCAAAGCCACCCTTACCAAGACATCCTCCACCCAGCCCTTTCCAGCCCAACCCAGCCCTCCCCAACGCTGACATCTCTGGTATGCTGCAGCTCCCTACCTCCCCACCTTCTTCCTCCCCGCCAACACGTACAATATCTCTCTTGTAACTCTTTCTCGTAGGAGGATCAACTGTGGTTCTCAGGCCAACAGCACTGAACGCTTCTGGACCAGTCTCTCACACAAAGTTAACTTCATACCTAAACCTTTATGGGGCTGTCTTGTGTAACGGGTTGCACAGGCTTTTCCAGAGCTACCTCAGCGACATCCTGTGGAATTTAGCCGGGTGCTCAGTTTGCACCCCTGAAGGAGGGGTGCCCGCCCAGGGCTACGGATAAGCACACATCCTCAGCCTGCCACGAATCCGCGGCGCCTCCGCAGCCCCCGCAACCCGCTCGGGGAGCGCTGACAGGCCAAGCCGACCGCCGAAAAGGCGGCGGAGCCGAAGGCCTGGTCGCCGGGGACCCTCACCCCCGCGGAGGCGGCCCTGAAGCGCGCTGCCCAGCCCCATGAGGGGCGGCGGGCAACCCACCCAGCAGCCGCCCACCCCGCTCTCTCTTGCGGCGGGCGGGCTGCCCCACACAGCGGGAGCTCAGGGCAAGAGGGAAAGGAGGCGACAGCGGCAGCTCGCACTCACCTCAGCGGCGCGGCGCGGCGCGGAGGGGAGAGCCTTGCACACGGCCCCGCCCCGCCTTCTTCCCGCCTTCCCGCCGCGGGGCATGCCGGGAACTGTAGTCCTGGCTAGGGCAGCCGCTGGCAGCCCGGCTTCGACTACAACTCCCGCAGGGCCGCGCGGCCGCCCCCGCGCCTGCGCGCCGCCATTTTGTAAAGGGGGTGCGGTCCCTTCAAAACCGCTGCGCGGCAAACCCCGGAGAAGCGGCTGTCGTGGGGTGGGGATGCCCGGGGCTCCTGGGGAGGGATGGGGAGGGATGGGCGGGCAGGACAGCGGGTCGGAGCTAGGGCGGTGCACCCTCATGGCGTTGCGGAGGGGCTGTGCTGCTTTGGGCGCTTCTTTTCCCCGCGCTGACTGCTTCTTGTGAGGGAAGGGGGGACGGGGGGTGCCCGCCACGGGCGGGTCTTACCGTGCGGGCCCGTCCTGTCTCTCCTGGGGGTGTTGTGTGAGGATGCGGCTCCGGGGGGTCTCTGTGCCGGTGCCTAGCTCGGTTCCTCGGCTTTACGGGGAAAACCGCTTTGGCCTTGGAAGAGCTGACCCCCACTGTGCCTTTTTCATATAAATCCTTATGCTGCTATTGCATGCTGATCCTTGTACGTACGTGATATTGGGTATAACCAAGTTATTAATCGTTGTTGCTTGGTACACCACCTGTTTCCTTAACAACAGGTTTTTCAAATGGTATTTTACCTATAGGAATGAAATGGACTGTTAGGTTTCTTTCAGTGGCCTTGACCATCCTGATTACAGCATTTGGAACCGGACTGCACTTCCAACTCTTCAATTTACAGTTTGGGGGGGTTACAAAGGCAGCTTGGATTGGGTTGACTGAATTGCATAGGTAGATAGGATGATTCTAAGTGCTCCCATGGGGCTTGTAAAATTCTTCTGCTGTGTGTACCCATTCCAGTTATATAAAAATATCTGCAAGGGTAATGACTTCCTACTCTTGTTACATTGAGTTGTTTAGGTTTTCATACTAAGCTACTTTAACCTCCGGTTTTGTCCGTGAACACCACTCTTTTGTGCTGGTTCTGAAATCAAAAGCTATGATACTTCTGTGTGTCTTTGCTGAATTGTATGTTTGGTGACAAATGTCAGCAGTTCTTATGTGAAATCCTGTTCTTGTAAAAGCAGGGTACTGAGGCTCTTCTAGAACTAGTGAGGAGCTGGATTTTCCTGCTCTCGTTATATTTTTTTTCACTACTGAAGTTTCAATGTACAAGAAGTTTTCCCTATTGTTATCTTTTTTCCAGTCTCTTTATTGTCTGCCTTTGACTTTTCTAGGGGCCGCACATATGTATGACAAACTTTTTGAAAAGCAGAAAGCGGACTAGCTAAGTAGTAAATTTTAGGAAAATAATAAGAATTACAGAACAAAAGTAAAAAATCCTAGATATGTTACAGTTTGAGAAGACATTTCAGTGCAGATGATCACTTGCGGTTTTGTTTCTTTTTCCATTTAGATTGATTAAAAAGATGAGTGAAGATTCTAACAGAAAGCTGGGTAAAAACCATGACAAGCTCAATAAAAGAAAGCAGTGTCTGCTCTCCTGATTCAACAGTATCTTCTCTTTTAACAAGCTATAGCACTGACAGCAATAATCCATACTCAAACAGCTTGATTCACTACAAGGACAAGCTTTACAGCTCTGCATCTGAGGCTTTGGAGGCTTATATCGAAGATTTTGATTTAAGTCTCACATCTTCAGAAGTACGCACTGGAAAAATCTGCATATTTCAAAGCACTCCCAAACAAGTTAAGTTTTCAAAGCATCATGCCAAAGAAAAACATGGTATGTCTCTGCAAATTTGTTGTCTAATAAGTTTTGGTGTTTGCTGTTCTTTTGGTTTGTTTTTATTGCCAATGGTATTGCAACTCCTTATCTCACACCAGGTGTGTTTTGTTGAAGGAATATTCCCTGCACAACTGCTTGCAAGTCTTTATGGTATAGTAAATGATGCTTGGTCATGGCTAGCAATATTTGTCATTCTCTGTAATGCTTTTTCATAAATGCTTGGTGGATTGGTGAGAATTCGTGACCATGCTCATAGATGCAATAATAAATTCCAGAGTATGGAATAGAAATTGTATTTTCTATATGTGAATATATGCTAAAGACAGTGTAAATCATTGCTTAAACCCAAGTCTTGAAAAAAAATCTCAGTTTTCTTTCCAGAGTAAGTAACATCAGTATCTAATTAATTGAATGAGTTCCCTCAAACACTGCTTTGTCTTAACACAAAATTTGCCTCTTATCCATTGATTTTTATGGAATGTACTTTTGGACCTGAAGTCTAACCTAAGTGGGTAACATATATGGGTTTGAATTGGCTTTTGTAATTATTAGTTAGCTTGAATAAATAATTGATTATATGAACTTTTATTAGAAGGTCTAGAGCAGGTAACTGTGCTTGAGCTAATTTATATTGCAAATGCTTTGTTCATTACACCTCAAATAACAAAGTTCTAAGTACAGGCAAACTTCCTACCTGAAAAAGGACACTTTCCTGGGTTGCATTGGCATGGACAGTTATAGTAGCATATTGTGTTATTCAGGGCTTTTTTTAATTCACCATAGCCTATAACCTTCTTCTAGCTTCACACCTTTCCTTTCTTTCTCTTACCAAGACAGCTATTTTTAGCTGTGTTTAGCTTTTGGGTTATATTTTTCTAATACAAACCACCTTCTACTTATGTTTAACTGATTTCCCCCCAAAAAATCCCAGCATTCTGATTATCACTAAAAATGTGAAACTATTCTATGAAAAATGTCATATCCTCACATTTTTACTCTGAAATTTTTCCACTGCTGTTCTTTGCAGGAGTCTCATTAGCTCCATTCACATATTAGCTAGTCTGCATGTATGTTTTGTATGTTACAATAGTCTGTAATATACAGATTTCACTTACTGATATTACAGTGAAAGAGTGAAAAAATAACTTCCAGATACTAGCTGAGGAAAACCTATTGTCATGAATCAAAGTGCTTCATAGTTTCAGTAAAGGATTTAATGCTATAATTCTTCCCTGAAAAACTGTCAAGTCAAATCTTATACAGCATGTAAGTTTCTGTAGAATCACAAAATAGGTCTATAAGCCCATTATCTGGCTAATTGCTTTGCAAGCTATTTTTTACTGTGTATCTGCAAAATACACAATTCTGAATGTGAAACTAAAAATGGACTGTAGAATGTTGACTTCTTGTTTCTCTTAAATAAAAAATTAAAGAAAATACTCAAAGCTGTAAATGTGTACTATGAAAGGAGGGGTAACTTTTGACTGATAAGGTTTTTATCAAGATTCTGGTTAGAAACTGAACCACTCTTGCAAGAACTGTAATTCAGTGCCCCTGGTAAAGAATACGTTTCAGCTTTAAACTGTTACTTCATGTTAGATCTTACAAATGTATCCTTTTGGTATGCTTGAAGTTTAGCATGTCATGTAAAATATCTTTATTTTTCAGCACTGGATGATTTCAAACAGCATGTAGGATTGGATTCTCTTGCTTCACCCTCTAGAGCGCAGAGTGAGTGTGACCCAGACTTGATTAGTCTTGCAACGGATGATCTGTTAGCACTTCCAGCAGATGGATCGCTACCCTTTGTCCAGCGTACTTTTAAATCAAGGCATCAAAGTAGTGAGTGGAACAGATGGTCCCTTAAAACATCTTTCTGCCCTTACCAAACCTCATCACTCAATACTGAAAGTGGTTTCAGTCTCCAGGAGAATGGGAAAACTGTTGCTCACCAGAATCCACACAAAGACTTCAGCAAAAAGAAATGCAATGTGTATAAACCTGATAGGTATGATTCTGTCTCCTCTAAAGGAAGTTTGAGACCCTCGTCTTTTGAAGAGGACACTTTTCCTTTTAAGAATTATCCAAGATGGCTTACCAGTCAGAAGTCCGACTTAAGTGTATCAGGGATAAGTAGTATTCCCAATTTGCACTACCCAGTATGGCTTAAGAGTTACAACCTTTTTTCTGATTCAGCTAAAGAAAGCGATAGTCAAAATTTTAATATACAAGGCAAAGCTTCCTCTTCACAAGCTTTTGAGATCCTGAAAAAAAGGCACTCTGTAGATAAACACAGTTCTGATTTTTTTGAACAAAATGGTTGCCTGGGTCTGGGAAGGGATAACAAAGTAGAAGAAAGTTGCAACTATGACAGTCCAGATGCCTACTTCCCTTTTGGTAACTTGTTTTCAAGGCACACTAAAAAGCTGTTCAGAGGTAACTATATTTCGTATAATTTGCTTTTTAATTTTAAGGGTATATATTATATGTGTATGAAGACGTACATTTTTTTAAACCAACACTCTTTAGCTGTGTTAGTCTGACTGCACTGTACAGTAGATTTATTCACTTGCATCTTTGACATGACTCAAAGCACTTACTAGTAGTTGACCAAGTTAAACAGCTTTTATACTGTAAGTTTTCATATGTAAGCCAATATTTAGGCATTCCTTTTACAGCAAAGTACTTATTACATTAGTATTATATTAGTACTTATTGCGTATTTAGTACCTCACTGCAAGGTAATGACAGTAGTTCCATAAATATCTTAATAGAATTTCAAGCATTAAATTAAATTATATGAAGTTTAACCTTGGGGAAGAGAGATTCCAAAACATAGTGTAAATGAACCTGTCAAATTGGTAAAAAAAAAAAATACCGTTTGTGTAGTCTTTTTCTCTACTTTACACAATCAGCAGGAGATACTTGTAACCCCTATATTTAGGTTATCCACTGCCTTCAGTTTATGTAAAGACTTTCCTTGGGAATCACTCGTGTAGCTAATCTTTGCAGCAGGCCATTGCTCTTCAGAAGCAGGGAGGTCCTCCTGTGGTGAAGCACCATCTTTGTATTATGAAATATCAGTAAGATTTGCTTTGATATGAGAGATTAATATTTTGAAGTGTTAATTACCTTTGCTTCTGTCTAAGTTTATTCATTTAAAAAGAAAAATATTTTTTCTTTCTTATGCAGAGCATAAATACTGATCTTTACCTTTTTCCAAGAGGTTATATATAAAAACTACATTAAAATGTTGTTTATGTTGTTAATTCAAAGCAACAAAATGTCAGATATACAAGTGTCTGCAAATACCTTTATAATGTGTGTGCATGATGAACTTTAAATACAGGGTTATATCTTTTTTTCACATAGAAAATTTTACCAATCATGAACAGGCTAGGTATAAAAAAAAATGCTAATGACAGACACATTTTGAGTGCTTGCCTCAACCTATTTTTAAATGTGAGTCCTGTATGTGATTGTATACGTGATTTGCATGTATATGTTGCATGATTTCTCTCCCAGGTGTCTGTAAAAGCAGCTATTAGAAAAAAGTGTACAAAATAATAAGAAAACTAACCTATGACTTTATAGTATTAATAAGTAATATTTAACATCGTATTGTGAAATAATATTAATTATATTCTTCTATAGCATGAAAGCACATTAAAAACATTAAATAATCTTGAGTGCTGCATATGATACTTGTTTTACATAAGTTAGGAAAAGAAATGCTTAGCTACTTTAAATACTCTCTGGGCTAGAACCTTGCAGATCCCATTTGGTACTGATGATACCAAGATAACCAAAGGAGTTGTACTAGGGCTATAGTCTCCGTAAAATATTTCCAGTGCTAATTCATCTGTAGTAATTTTCTTTGAGTATTACATAAAGTTAAAAGTAATGTGGAAATAATTCCCTTGAAGAGGGTTGGACACATTATGTCCTTGGTTTTTAGAAGACCAGCTTGAGCCACTTACCTCGAAGGCCGACAGAGGTCTGGAGATTTCAACTGAAAATTTGTCAAATAATCTGGAAAATCATGGCAGTCCTTCTACAACAGATATACTAGAAGCAGAAAGATCATGGGAAAATGCTCCAGGTGCTTTGTAAGTAAAGATATATTTTGGAATAATTTGTTCGTGAAAATGCATAATGCATTTAATTGCTTTTCTATATAGGTTATAAGTGATAGTGCTGTGGCACGTACATGAAGAAGGATTTACTATTAGATTTCTTGCTAGTGCTGAATGTTTGATATTTCAGGGTCAGGATATTGGCGCACTGCTTTCTCTTCATTGACTTGCAAAGACTGCTATCCATTATTACTTATTGTTGCCTTTTAGTAGCATCTTTGTACATCAGTGATATGGAAGAAATATTTATTTCAAGAGGAAAATTAAATAATTTAACTTAAATTGACAGATTTACTAGTTTATGATTAATAGTTTATGAAAAACAAGTTAATAGTGGGAAGTCCCACTATTCCCCCCCAATAGTGGTAAGTCCCACAGTGGTGTGGCCTTGGGAAATTTTGGAGCAGTCTTGGGTGTAAAATGTCAGTTGTTTAGGAACTGAAAGGTTATTGCACAGAATCAAAGAATGCTAAAAATCAATCCTAGAATTTCCTACAGTTTGCCACAGTTTTTAAGCAGCTGGGTGTATGTGGTTCTGGGTGTTTCTCTTTGTCCTAGAAGATTCTGAACTATTGGTTAATTGTAACAATATTTCACAAGTGAGTAAAAGTCTCAAACTGCAGCATTCCTGCATGTGATAATGGAAGAGATACTATTCATGCTCCTGTTGAGAGAGAGGCTAATAATCTAACCTTCTGCTAGCCACTAGAATACCCACAAAGGAGAGCATCACTGGAAATCAGGCTTCATTAATACCTGTTTCTATGAGACTACTAGCTTTGAATTAAAATAACTTAGAGGCTGTAGAAGAATTAGAGGTCAGTAAGCAGAAGGCAACTATTTTTCTTTAGATATTGAATATTAATGGAGGAGTACCAGGTGTAAGAAAAACACATATGTGTAATAAATTACAGCTAACACGTCCTTATCTTGCCTTTTTTGTTTAGTTGATTTTTATGGCTACCCAGGTTTTAATTATACTGGCAAAACTGGAAAAAATAGTTATGTGTTTGTCACATACACCAAAGTGCTGACAGGACTACTCAGTGTCCCTTTGGTGTTGCAGTGATGCAACATATCTGGTTTTATCACAGTAACTATATCCTAAAATCATTCTTTTAGTTTATAAACCTGTTGTTATTCTCCGTTGCATGTTTAATGTTGGTTTAGCAAACCACCAGTGCCTGTGTGCTGTGAGGACATGGAGAATGCTCTACCATTCCCCAAAGCAGATATCATACATAAATTCTTGGAAGACTGTTTAAATGACAAAAATAAGGTCAGTAAAATTGAGTATTTATTTCTGAGAGTGCCCAAAATGTGTAAGACTGGTAAATATTAGAAGAGGCAATCCCTGTAAATTTTTTCTTCTGCTATAATACATAAAGTAGAAAGCCTAACTGCAGTACTTCAGTCATATTTGAGCACGATGAATTCATATGGTTATTAAATCCTATAATCTAACCCTTGGTCACAATTATGATTAAGAAAGCATCTAACTATGAAATGCTTTGCTTAGGAATAGTTTGACTTTTACAGTCCATGTTTTGTTTAAATAATGATTTTCCTGCCTCAAGTAAAGGAAGACTTTTTTGTTATTGATGTATGAAATACTACTAATTTCCTAGCCTGGCTGATGTACTGTTGAGTATGAGTCAAATTCAAGAGGTAAGCTAAGTAATATATTTCTTATTATTTATGCTGTTGCACTGGAATTGGATCAGGGATTGAATTTACTCGTTTGATTATTCATTATTTTATTCCCATTCTTACCCATATTAGTCACCTTCTTGGCAGTCTTAATATTGTTCAGTCTGTCACTTTGATTACATGAACCCTTTAGCCTTTTCTCAACTAGGGAGATGAGCACTGAGCCCAGTGTTCTAGTTGAAAGGCATACTACTAGTTTACGTACTGGTATGTTTCCTTTACTTTCTGCCTTATTGTCCTTGAATCTTAACTGCACTAAGATTCCCTTTTCCCATCTTGTAGTAAACAGAGCATGACCCTTAAAGTTTTTCCACTGTGGCACATACTTCTGTTTCCCGAAGGAGTTAACTGACACGGAACCTAACAATGTGCATGAGTAATTTAAATTATTCTGTCTGATGAACGGTGCTTCACTGTATCTCATCCTTCATGCTTCCCTTTCTCTTGGTTCTGCTAGATCATCAGACATTTCTAGACATAAGTATTTCTAGATTAACCACAGATTTTTGTCACCCTGAGTTAAGATGCTTTTTTGATTATAGTATGAGCAGGTATCATATAGATGCTAATTATATGAATAAATCTGTGTTTATCATTAAAGAAGCTTACTTGCTCTGTTGGTTCTGAAATGTTGAAACATGTTCCAGCACTGCTGTCATAGCATTACAAGGACAGTCTTAGTATTCTTGAATTATTTTACATAAGCCAGGGCTGACGCCTTTCTGAGTTGCTTCACGTTTTCCTAACAGTGTATGTATTTACAGTGACTTCACTGACCATATAGTGGCATAAAATAAGATTAACCATTGTAGCATCATAGATGTACAATTTATAAAATAGATCTTTAATGGTAGAGGGGAAACTGTTTCAGGGAAACTTTTGAAAAGTTGGTTGTATTATTTTGTTTTGTTTTATGTGCACTGCAGTACACTGCAAGATCAACAAATTCTTTGGGTTTTGGTTTAGGAAAATACTTTTTCTGGAGGTCATCACCAAAGGCCCCTTGAAGCTTTGAAGCTAATCTTGTTTAAACTTCAAGAAATTCAGGCAAGTTTAAACCAGAATGGAACTGCTGAGCAAAAGGAAGAGATTGAAAAAGTGAGTAGTCAGTTTCCTTATGTTGTATCTTGTCAAAATCAATGGGCTTTGTATGCTTCTGAGAAAAATTTAGTCCTTTTATAGACTTGGTTTCCTGTCATCCTTGAAAGAGCACTGCCAGCAGATTAAATCCATTTTGCATCAGCAGCATATGCCCAAGGCTGCTGTGCCCTCAGTCCTCTATGTCTTGTTGCTGCTGGGGCAAATTGGAGGCTCTGTACTAAGTTACGCTGCAGTTTTCCCCGTTTGCAGGGGCACTGGGTGGCAAGTCAATAACCCAATAGTGGCCTCAGAGGTGCTGCAGAAAGCTGTACTTGTAAGCCAGGAGATGGCGACATTTCAGGCAATCCTGCCCGAAGAGAGCAGACTGGGCTCTCTGCTGCTCTAGCAGTAGCTGTGCTCTGGAAAAAGCTGTCTTCTGATAATAATCCCGTTAATTCTAGGCTTTCGGGGCATGTACCAAATTTTTAAAAAGCCATTCTCAAATGCTCTATCCTTGCCTCTTTTGGCATCGGAGAGTTGGTATTTTGTGACACTTGTTTCAAAATTATTTCATAGACTTTATCTCTTTTTTACCTTTTTCATAATGTTGCTTGCATACAGTTCTTAAACCCTATGTCCTATACTCAGTAGTGAATGAAATGCTTCATGTATTTCTGGATCAGGCAGGCTGGGGGAATGGGCTGACAGGAACCTCATGAAATTCAGTAGGGGCAGATGCAAGGCCTTGTACCTGGGAAGGAAGAAACCTTTGCAGCAATACAGGCTGGGGACTGCCTGGCTAGGGTGCCACTCTGTTGCAAATACCCAAGAGGTCTTGGTAGATACAAGCTGAACATGAGCCATCTGTGTGCCCCGGCAGCAAAGGAGGAACGGTAGGGCCTGGGCTATATGGACAGGAGCACAGTCAATGGATCAAGAGAAATGATTGTCCCTCTGTATTCCCAAGCACTTATTAGACCACATCTATAATACTGCATCCAGGTTTAGGCCCCTCACTTCAGGAGAGACATCAATAAGCTGGTGGAGGGGCCCCTAGGTGGTTGGGGGCTACAGCACTTGTTTATGGGGGGGAGCTGGGAGAACTGGGCTTGTTCAGGCTGGAGAAGAGGAAGTTTTGGGGGACCTAACAGAAGTCTTCCTGCACCTGTGAGGAGGGTTTCAAGAAGATGGAGCCAGGGTCTTCATAGGGGTGCATGGTGGCAGGATGAGAAGCAGGCTGTTGTGGTTTAACCCCAGCCAGCAGCTAAGTACCACACAGCCACTCACTCACTCCCCCCCACTGTGTGGGATGGGGGAGAGAATCAGGAAAAAAAAAAAGTAAAACTCGTGGGTTGAAATAAGAACAGTTTAATAGGATAGAAAGGAAGAAACTAATAACGATAATAGTAACAATAATAAAGTGACAATAACAATAATAAAAGAATTGGAATATACAAGTGATGCACAATGCAATTGCTCACCACTCGCTGACTGACGCCCAGTTAGTTCCCGAGCAGTGATTCCCCCCAGTCCCACTCCCCCCCAGTTTCTGTGCTGGGCATGATGCCATATGGCATGGAATACCCCTGTGGCCAGTTTGTGTCAGCTGCCCTGGCGGTGTCCCCCTCCCAACTTGTTGTGTCCCTCTAGCCTTCTTGCTGGCTGGGCATGAGAAGCTGAAAAATCCTTGACTTGGTATAAACATTGCTTAGCAACAGCTGAAAACACCAGTGTGTTAGCAACAGCTGAAAACACCAGTGTGTTATCAACATTCTTCTCATACTGAACCCAAAACACAGCGCTGTACCAGCTACTAGGAAGACAATTAACTCTAACCCAGCTGAAACCAGGACACAGGCATAAATTGAAACAGGAGGTTCACACTGGACACTGGGAGAAACTCTTTTACCCTGAGGACAGCCAAGCACTGGAACAAGTTGTTCAAGGAGGTCATGCAGTCTCTGTCCTTGGAGGGTTTCAAGATTTGACTGGATAAAGTCCTGAGCAACCTGCTGTAACCTCATAGCTGCCTCTGCTTTGAGCAGGAGCCTACTTCCTGAGATACCTCACAACATGAATTACTTTATAATGCTATAAAGTCGTTGGCAATACTTTCCCATGTCATGTGCTATAAAAATTCCATGTTTTCTGTCATATTCAGCTACTCTTCCTTCCCTCAGTTAACAATTTTTTTTGGTTTTTTTTAAGCTTTCTGAAAAAGCTGAGGCTGAATTAAAACTGTGTGACAGTGAGATAATCCCTCTTACTAATTCTATTCAGAAGTAAGTGAGCACTGATTTTCTGACTTTTCACAGTTTTCAGAAATTGCAGAGAAGGAATGATAAACTAGCTGAGTTGTCATGTGATCTGAAAACTTTGTTAAGAATAAGCAAGTAGTGAATAATTAAAAATATGGCAGTTTAAGGAGCAGAGAAATACCTAGTGAATGGTTGCTGAGATGTACTCTGTAAATAAACATTTGTATTTCATCTATATCAATAGATTAATTACTGTTACACATAGATGGACTTCAGAAACTTCTCCAAGTCTGATTATTTTAATATGGGACAAAATAGCTTCTTTCTTTTTTTTCACTACAGTGGAGAAAATAATTGCTAGAAAACATTTCATTAATGAAATCAGCAGTCCTACTGAATAGTTACAAGTGACTAAAGAAATAATAAGTTTGAGAAAAGGCAGAATGGAAAACAGGATTTTATGTAGAACATTTGTTTCAACAAAACTCACTGTTGCAATACAGTTTTATACTGTAATGTAAAATGAAAAGAATTTTTAATTAAAAAAAATACAGTAACTTTCAGTATTGATATGGTATTTTATGACAATGTTTTGCAATGTTTAACATCCTGTGTTAAATACCCATTCCATAATAATTTAATAGAAACAGTGTTTGTGTGAGCACCTATATTTGAGATGTATTTAAAATTTCAGTTCCAAAAAGTTTGATCTTCTTTAAAAAACATCTTAGTGTATTCTGTAATCTCTGAAACAAAGCAGAACAGTTTGACATAGAGATGTAAACTGTATATAATACCATTCAAACTGTTAAGCTGTTTGTAAGAAATCAACATCATTTCATGTTAAATGTAAGTAGTAATATATACACTGTTGTTAAAGTCTTCATTTTTCCTAATCTAGGGCTTTACACCATTTGTCACGTGTTAAAAGTGTTGTTGAAGATAACAGTAACCAACAAGAGCAGACCGATGATCATGAAGATAAACAAGAAAAAAAAGAATAATCTGTGAAGCTGATATCTAATAGTTTAATATTGTGTAATTTAAATAATTTGTCAGCCTGACCACTGGTCAATTTTTTTGAAAGCTGAACCACTAGTGCATGTTCTCAAAAATGTTGTATTCAGTATTTCTGTACATATTCGTTCATTTCATTAATTACTTCAAAGCTTAACTGAGTGTTAGTGCTTTCAGTAGGATCTAACAATATGTGACAAGGGATACCACTTTTTAAGGAATACTTAATTAAAATAAGGTGAACATTTTCATGGAAGAATGTCTGTGTATTTATACAAATTTACAAAAAACCTGAACTATGTGGTTGATTCTAGTCATCACTTCATTACATGGCCTGTTAGAAGCAGGGGGAGCTCAATATCATGTGTAAAGTTAAGCAGTAATGTTTAGCAATAATGTAATTAAATAATATTTTCAGTGCTGTTCTTTCTAACAGGACTTGAGTTGATGTAATTTTATGTTTCTTGTTACCCAACCACAAACTTACCAAATATTTTGTATCAAAAAGTGTCTGAAGTCTTTTTTAATTGTCCCCCTTTCACATCCTAGTAAAGCCTGATTCTTTGGGGAGAGAAGGCACTTGTGAAGAGGCATGTTGTTTAGGAGCACAGAATGTGTTTCAGCTGGACAGATCCAACATCTGGTTGTCTCTTTTACTGGGAAGTCCTAAGCTCCCTTCCACTTTCCTTGTCTTTGCTCTTAGCTTTAGAGCATATAAAATCCTTCTGTGGGCCTAAATAGGCAGAGAAGTAATAGAATAGAAATTTTTGTTTGTTTGTTTGTTTTTCCCCAGCATAATTGAATAGAATTAGTCTGTGAAAGCCACTGATAAGGACTGGAACTTGTGCAGGAGAGAGAGGAGTAGGACTTATCCCATTTGACAACAGCAAATTGAGAGACAAAAAGGAAAGCTGTAGGTAGTAATTCAAGTTGCGAACTGAAATATATTGACAGAATGTTTTGAAAGAAGCCTTTGCTACCTCTTCAGAGGCTTACATAATGTAGCCCAGCATTTTATGCTGTCAGTAAATAAAATATGGCAACATGCCTTTCTAGTGAACTGTTTCCTTTTAATCTGGATCTTTATAGGTACACATGAGAAAGCAGGTACCTAAGCATGTACTGATTCTGAGAAATAGAGACCAGAAGAAAAAGTGGAAGGAAAATTAGCTATGTATTTCTCCTATCTTCCTGTTAAGAACTGGTAATTAGAGAGATAATAATAAATGACTTCATTTTATGACTGTCATTGCATCATGAGAACATAGGTAGATCATAAGTAATACGTAATAATGTATTTTAGACAGATTTTATTGGTCTTTCTCAAATCCTGAGAGCTAGATCTGAAATCAGATTACAGAAAATGAAATTACTCCTCTAGAAAACTTTCTTATAGAAGCTTATATAAAGCATTGCATTCCTGAGACATGAATGTACGAACCAACTGATACTGTGGGTATAATTGTTGTCTGTATTAAGACAGTATTTGTTTGCCAGAGGTCATTTTATCAAAGGAATTCAGATGTGCAAGGAAACATGAGGATTTTTCCTGACATCCCATATGTCTGTGTGTGGATCACAATGAATTTGCTCTACTTTTGCACTACTCTGGATGCTGTGTGTAGGTAGTTACACGTAGTGTGCGTATGCTGCATTGTTTGAGCTAGTACACCTCAGACTCTCACCACAACTAGTGTGGCACTGCCTAAGCTGTCACAGCTCTTCTCTTTCTGAAGGGGCTTGTACCTACATCGCTCACAGTAGGAAAGTAGATTTATTCATCCAGGTGGACAGATACTCCTTGGGGTGCTGGTAGCACAAGCAAGGTGAACTTAAAGCAAGGCTTGATGCCCTGAGAGTACTTGGAGGTTATACCACACTTCCCTTGTATCCTGCTTGCAGGGCTGCATAGGACAAATGTAAAGCACTCCTTGCTCCCTTAGAACTTCTCTTGATGTTAGGGCAGAGATATTTTGCTATGTAGAAAGTCTTTTTCATTAATTGCGCCTTGGAGAATCCTCATACCTATCCATATTTGTGAGTTTTCTCATTCTTCGGAGTTTTTTTATTAGATATATTTTATTAGATATATTTTTATTAGAAATATCCAGATATTTCTCCTTTATCAGTTTAATGTACTTTGGAGAATTTCAGCACAACCTTTTTTGGTTTTATGGCACACAGACCTAGGTAACAATTAAAAGTATTGTTGACATTATTGAATATTCATATTTACTAACTTCATATTGGCCAGGTATGAAAGGCTTTGATCATGGATAAGGTCTACTGTGTGAGGTACTGTACTGCACAGGATAAAAGCACCATAAGCATATGAAACTAAGCAACAAATAAGTGACACTTTCTAGCTGTAGACAATAGAAATTCAAATGAGAATAGAATAAAATAAATCCCAAACCAATAAAATACTGTTAGTAAGAGGAGACAACTGGTTTCACATTAAAATAATTTTTTTAAATGCTACCAAGATTTTACAGCTATTAAAGAGTATTTTAAAGAGGGATTTGATCCCTTATGTATCAACAGAAAAAAGTAACTTTTTGGTTGTATACACTGGTCAGTTCTTGCAATTATAGCTGGAATTTAGGGGGTTTTATAAGTTAGTATTAAAGAAGTTGCCACTCAGGAAAAATAACGGAATACATAAATCAAGTACTAAACAAAAATAATTGCCATATACAAGATGTCAGTGATGTTCTTGTCCTTGAGGCTAGATCAGGGGAAAGGAATTTTATTGAACTACAATCTTCCATGTGACAGTGGGAAAAACAAAAGGGAGGAAATAGCAGGACTAGACAGAAGGAAAGTCACTGTTTCTCAGCAAGTGACAAGAACTGTTTGCTAAGGATGTACACAAGTATTTGTGATCCTATGTATTTGCATATACAGGAAATCTTTTATGAGGAGGGCACTTCCTGAATTACAGTGTATATATATATCTCAGTAAAACGGAGCTGAGGGAAGTAAAGGCTTTGATGAAGACAAGTATTGTGCTCTTAAATCTTGTGAAGGTCCTATCTGTGGTAAGACTACAGACGTGGCACGGTGGGAGGAAAATAGATGGGATTTTTGTCTCGGGGATTTTTGCCCTTTAAAGGCTTAATGAGAGAGTCCATCGTGATACTGGTCTTGAAATGGAATGACTGTATGCTGCAGTTATCTTTTCCTCTGTAACAGTTCATTTGTGTTAGCAAATCTCTCTGCATCACTGTATTTGCACTGATACAAAAATGTGCTGATATAGGAAAACTTAATTACAGGCTCCAGATATCATGAAGCCTAACAGTGCTGCCAGTAGAGGGTTAATTTGGCGAGAGTTTATACCTGGTTTAGTCTGAAAAGGAGGATCTGAAAAACTGCAAATCCCATAGTCGCTCATTATCAATGTATTAATTCTTTTCTTATGTATCTTTGAGGCTGCCAGATCACTTGTATTTGTTTTCCAAGAGGTGCTTATGGATTCTCACATATATATATGGAATTGTGAAACCCTTGAAAATCATAATGTATATTTTCTTTCTTGTTGATCATGGATTCTGTGATCCACAATGTTTTTTAATTTTTGTGTCCTTACTCAAAATATTTGGTCAACTTTAGAGTTGGTAGGTCTCTCACCGTGCAGAGAGAATTGCTGTTCAAAGGGAAATGAGAAGAACTTTTCTTTAATTTTAATTGACCTGATCCTGCTGTTGCCAGTTTGAATGGCTGAGCTTTCACAGCTCTTTCAGAACAGAAAAGAAATGACTACTGAGGAGAGATGAGCTCTATCTCATAAGGAAAAATAAATGCCGCTTTAAGTTTAGACTTGCCAACTTAGGAAGAAAGGCTTTAAACCAGAATTAATGGGGACTGATGACAAAAGAATGTGTTACCAGTGGAAAGGTGACCAGAGGCATAGTAACTGTGGATATAGGGTTTTTATAAAAAGGATTGAAGCAATACGGAAAACAGGATAGTGAATATGTCTGCTTAACATTTAAGATGTCTATACTACTGCAGGCTATATGGAAACTAAATGGAAGAATGTACAAGGTTCTATATAAAGTTGTGATTTAGGCAACATAAATGTTTACTTGGTGGGATATTTCATTTGTTAATGAATTAATACAGAAAAAAACTGGAGGTGGCTCCTGAAGAAAAGGGGAGGGAAGACATCTTTCTCTATGAATATTTAGTTTTGTATTAAAGTCTAGAAGGATATAGAGGGACATAATCTGTTAAAAGTATCTTTACGATAATTAAAGGAGAAAAAAGCCTGACTGCTATTATGTTGAGGACCTACCATTAAGACCACCAACCAAGAAGGATAAAATGGGAAGAACGTTTTTGTAAACAACTGACAGAATAATTTGCCTTGAGGAATTACTACTTAACCAAATATTTGTTGGTTAAAATAAATTGAATACGAAGTATCCAGGGTATTTTTAGACTAGGATGATGTCAGGTTTTGATACAGAAAGTGAAGGTTAATACAAGAATTTTCTTACAAGGTTTTCAAGTTTTTTAGAATGGAAAAGAGGAAAAATAGAAAAAAGCAACTACAAGAAATTCAAAGATTTGTTTGCAAAATCTTCTGAAAAAAGTCTAGGAAAAAGGTGCTCGGAAGTTTGGCAGTTCATAAAAATACATATATTTAAGATATAGTTGCAGGATATCCTAGTATGGAACAGTTAAAATAAATGTAATATGTCTTGTAGACATCAATGGTCTTCAAGAAGGAAGCATAATGGAAATAGTTAGAATTGTCCCTGAAGATGAGTCAGCTTGGACTTTTGTGCATTTTGGAAAGTCCAAAGCACAAAAATGAGAGACAAGGAGGAAGAGCTGTGAAAAATAATAAAATATCCCCAAAGTTCCTTATTGCTTATGTAACCAACAAGTCCTTTACTGATATAAGGGAGGACCAAGGAAAATTTTGGTCCATGACCTCCCTGTAGAGAATAATAAATGATGTCAGTGAAGGTATAATGTTTACTTAAAACATCAATGGCAATGGGGTGTGGATAAAGCTCAGGTTACCACAGGGAAAACATGATTAATAGCTCTTACGCAAGCTACTGGTGTTCAATGGACTACACCTACCGGCATTAACACTAAGCTCTTAGAGAAATGGCTGAAGCTATCGGTAATGTTTAGACCGCAGTGCAGTCCCATCATGGTCTAGAAATGGGACTAGCAAAGTAACCTTTCACAAAAAGTCAGCAAATGATACCGAAGAATTATAGGGCAATAAGCTTAACCTCAGTTTCCTAGAAGTTCAGAAGTACATAATCAGACATGGAGTATCTCAAGAAAATTGGGGGCGGCGGGAGCGGGTGGGGGAGAGAGAAGTCGTTACAAACACTGTGTATTACACAAACCTAGTTTCCTTTTTATGACTGGGTAGCAACATTTAACACTTGTGTGCTTCAAAACAAGGAATCATAGTCTATATTAAATTATTTTTGGGGAAGCATGAAGATGGGTGGAAAACAGTACTTGGAGACAATGAAATCTATTGCTATTCTTTATTTTCATAATGTAGTGGAGTTAGAGAAGATCCAGAGGAGAGTGACTGAAATGATCCTGGAGCTAGAACAGCTGCCTAATAGGGAGAGACTAAAAAGGCTCGGACCTTCAGCTTGGAGAGGGGAACGTGTTTGATGTTGCTCTAATCCCACAATACAGAAAGATAGGAGGCCTTAAAGGAGCTAGTAGGAGATCTGTTTAGGACTGTGAAGTGCTCTTTGTTTTAACCTGCAAGCGGTAAACTTAGGATGTCAGGGAGTATCAGCAGGTTCAGAAAAGACTTAGGCAAAGTCATGGAGTTCTTCATAGAATGAAATCTAAAGGGAAGAGGCTGTTCCCTCTAGCATCTCTCATTCAACAGTTACGTATGCCTGTAAAGTATGAAAGGTGTAACCTGGAAACAGTAGCCAGGTTATGCTCTCCCTTATCATTTCCTAAAGTCCTGCTGGAGAAAAAACACTGGGCTGGATGTACTGTTGGTCTCAGCTAGTAGGACCTTTCCTGTGTAGTTAGGTCCACTGCAGGAGGGTAACATACAACAGTTCTGTTGCAGCAAGAGCGATTTAGGCTTGTGAAAACCTTTTTAACAATAATAACATGTAAGCGGGGAAATGGGTTGCCAAAGAAGTTCTGGAACCTCAACTATTTTTGTGGTTGTAGAAGTAGATTACACAACCAGCCAAAACTGTAATTTAAATATATTGGGTCCTTAGGATAGGTGAAGAAATCAGATGACCTCTGGCTTTTTTTCCCCCAAGTATTTGATGGTTCAGACTCTATCTCATTGTCATGTTGTGTCTTAGGCATCATGTGATACATGAGTAATGTTAAATCTGAATGCAGAAATTGTCAGACCTTTCTGTTGTAGTTTAGTGAAGAATAGGTTTTTGCATTGCGTCACATTTCTGCACAATGGTACTGCACTAAATGCCATTAGTGTTACCATGCAGAAGATGAGTCACTTCCCTAAGCTCTGTAACATAACTGAGCATATATCAGAATTAACATCCTTTTGTTTCAATGTTTTTCTTGTCTTCTGTGTACTAATCTATTTCAGCTTTACTAAATGGATAACCAGGCATTTGAAATGCATGGAGAGAGCCTACAAAGTTCTTCAAAAGGAGAAGAGTGGCCAAAGAAAGAGGTACCAGTCATTTTCTTTTACAGTGCTAGCAAAACATTATTAAAAGTCAGTCTGAAGATTAAACCCTTATTTTGCAACATGACCTAATCCTATACTATTAAGAAGGTCCTGAGGAAAATAAAAGCTGTAAAGGGCTTCAGTTGCTAAGGTCTGAAAATGCATAGTTCCATGTGCACTAGCTAGGATCTGAACTGTGAGACATAATTGCCTGGCCCCACTTAAGCTAATAGCTGAATTCTTTATCCTCTGACTACTGGACAAAGTAATTATCTTTGGAGGATTCCCCATAGATTTTAACAGAAAGCACTACTTAAAAGCTCATCTTGTGGTAATGGTTAGTATCTCTACTGAGTTACACATTAGAGTACTGTTTCATCTTTTTTTTTTTTTTTTTTGCCTTTGAGAAAAGTAATTCTCTGTAATTTTCCCATTAAAGTTTTTGCTTCTCGGGATTTGAATTAACTCATGCAATAACAGTTGGCGTATCGCTCGTCAGCCACTGTATTTGTTTGCAGTCAGTACAGTGCTGCTTCTTGGCTATAAATATACCAAGGCTAGTGATTTCCTCACGGCACAACTCACTCCACACAGTTGTGCTGAGGTTGAATGTTCTGTATTAGTTATTATTATGTAATATGTACAGCATTCTTTTGACTTTAAAAATAATTCTTGAATGGGTGCCACTGCTGTGAAAATGCTGTAAATTAAAGGTCCTTCAAATCTGGAAAACGGGGATTTCAAATGCATTTAACTATAAAGCCTTGTTCTCTGATGAGACTTTGTGGTCTGAGTACTACTGTTGTGATATTTAATTGAACACAAACTTTAAAAAGGGAGTCATTTGAACTGAAGAAAAGATTATTACTGAATAGAATAGGGTGATATTTTGAGCACTTTTCTGCTGCCAAGAGAAATGTATTTGTAAAGAGCTTTTGTCAAAGAGATCAATGAAAAAGGTAATTTTGTTAAAATCAGCAAGTAATCTTCATTTTTTTCATTTTTGATTGCCTAGCTTAAGTGATCAACATTCATACCTCATTTTCAGGCACTTACCATGTGAAAAATCAGGCTTTTAAAGGTAGATCAAACTGTGCACCCAGAATCAGTAGTTTTAAAATTTGGGCCGGAGAATGCAGTCTCTATTGGTCTGAAGCTGCAACTTCAGCAGCAAAAATGTTTAAGGGACAGGAAACACTGAATATCCTCACCAAGGTGATGCTTCATGGTGCCAGAAGTGCCTTGGCTTTCTATAAAGAATTTGTGTGCTTCTGTGTGCCCAGCTGCTTCTCCCCTTCACCCTTCTCCAGAGGTCTGAATGTCCACAAAGGAAATTTTCAGTAAAGAAATGATGCCCAGAGCAGTTCATACAGATGAAATTTCCCCATTCTGGCCTGTCTTCTCTACTGACAGGGAGCTGGGCTATGTGAGATGTGACGTAAAGCAGAGGCAGCGTTTCTGCCCAAGAGATGAAGGTTTGCCATGAGTTGATGCTGCAGGTCTTCAGTGTTTTGTGATATAGATTAGAAACAGCAATGAAAAAATCTTTAAGCATTTGTATAACCCCTCAGACAGCAACAATCTGATAACATACTCTATAAGGTTTCCCTATAATGGGCCCAGTAATTTGGCTATACCTGTGTTTCTGAAAGGCATACTGTTTTGATTACAAAAGAACTATCACAAACTTTCTTCTGTGTGTTAGATCTAATAAAGCTTCCTTTTCTATTTGGGGGTGTTTTTATTAATTTCAGGAAAGAAAGGGCAGCTGGTCCCTAATGAAGGTCTTTCTAGTTTGTCTATTGGCCTGTATTATCACCACCACAATAGGAGTGCTGGCCCTGTCCTTGGTCTATGTAAAAAACACTGCCTTTATGAAAGAGACGGGTGTTACAGACGATGGTGCAACTTCCCCAAAACCAGATGAAAAAAGTGTGGATATCAAATACCAGTTCCTGAATCATCTGGGGAAATCAAAGGTAAATTTTTCATCTCGTGCAATAATATTCTAGCATCAAATATAGAAGTTTAATGAATTAATTTCACCTAACTATTTTTTAAGCATTAGGTGATCAGCCTAAAGCTGTTATCCAGACTTCTTTTATAATCCATGGGGAGAGACACAAACTTCCTGACAGTGTTTCACTCCAATTCATAACAGATGTTGGAAGTGGTATGGATCTCTGGAGTGCCTCTTGGAGAGCTAAATAATTGCTCCAACAAATCAGGCTTGCAAGACAAGGCAACCATTTTATGTGTGATTCTGAAATTATGGAGTATGAAATTCTGATAAACAAAACCAGAAAGATCAAATTCTAATTTAAGCTGAGTAGCACACTAAGCTTTTTGTTCTTAGGACTGGATTCAAACAAATTATGCTGCAAGAAGAAAAATTAACTCCATGATCTTGTTTCAGTGAGTGTTCTTGTTTCGGCTGAGATAGAGCTAACTGTCTTCCTAGTAGCTGGTACAGCGCTGTGTTTTGGGTTCAGTATGAGAAGAATGTTGATAACACTGATGTTTTCAGTTGTTCCGAAATAGTGTTTAGACTAAGTCAAGGATTTTTTCAGCTTCTCATGCCCAGCCAGCAAGAAGGCTGGAGGGGCACAACAAGTTGGGAGGGGACACAGCCAGGGCAGTGACCCAAACTGGCCAAAGTGTATTCCATACCATATGGCATCATGCCCAGTATAGAAACTGGGGGGACTGGGGCTGGGGGAGATCACCACTCGGGAACTAACTGGGCATCGGTCGGCGAGTGGTGAGCAATTGCATTGTGCATCACTTGTATATTCCAATCCTTTTATTATTATTATTTTCATTTTCATATGGTTATTATTATCATTGTTAGTTTCTTCCTTTCTGTTCTATTAAACTGTTCTCATCTCAATCCACAAGTTTTACTGGTTTTTTTTCTGATTCTCTCCCCCATCCCACTGGGGGGGAGGGTGTGGGTGAGCAGCTGTGTGGTGCTTAGCTGCTGGCTGGGGTTAAACCACGACAGTGAGCTAAAATTAACTGACAATGTAAGGAAGCCCTAGGAATTATATAGGTTTTGTTTAGGTGTATTTTGATACTTATAGAAATGTATCCTTTGAGCAATTAAAGACATATGCCTTCCTCTAAATATATCTTTATATAAAAAATAATTCCTGATTAATTTTTGCTTTTCAGCAAAAGAGGGAAAAGGATAGATTAGGTAGTAGGGCACTTTAAACTGACAACAGCCATTCTGGTACCTTTTCATGTTAGATTTAACTGTGTAAGTAATTTTTAAACAAAAAGTGTTTTTAAGAATGCAAACAAAAGTATTTAAGAGGAGAGCAACCCTTTTAATATGCCCTGCATCAGTGCAAGATGATTCTCTCATGGACAAAACATGTTCTAGAGGCATTACAAATATTGGGAAAGGATATTTTCAGGTGCAAATAGTTTGCAACCATAGAAATTCAGGAAAATGTCTTGCTCAGGAAATGTTCTAAATGTTTTGAATCTAAAAGTTTAAGCATATGTGTAACTGATTTCCCCAAATCAAAGTCCAGAATGACGTAAAAAGAGGAGCAGATAATTTTGTTCTTGATATCACTGTTTATCTCTCGTTTATAGAAATGATACTGTTACATCATGACATGAGAAAGTATATAAATGATTGTGAAAAGTGACTAAAATACATACAGAGAGAATCCTCACTGACCAAAAGGACAGGTCCCTTCAGTATTGCCCAGACCAAGAATTTTCTAAAATATTTTAGGATTCTTTGGTCACCACCATCCATAGTTAATACAATTCTCCACTCTCACTAACTTTACAGGTATATAACTACCCAGGCGGTGAAATTCAGTGGGCAAGATTCAGGAAGAATGTAAATGAATATCAAAGCGATGAAGAAATGGAATTTGGAAAAAGTATCAATAAACATGGCTCCAAAATGACTTTTGGAACCTTACGGATCAAAAGCAAAGGGCTTCGGGCTCCCCATTGGCATTTTAATGCCAATGAACACGGCTACCTGCTGCAGGTATTATCTAATTATTTCAGCTTTCCCAATTGTTTTGCAGTTTAAAGTGTCATGCGTCTATAGAAGAAGTACACATGTAAAAAAAAATTACATATACATTATATACAAATGTTAACAGGTAATAAAAGCAGAATTACCATTAATTGATGTATGACATTAGTTTTCTTGCTTGAAATAAAATTTTCACATGGAGGTAGTTGAAATAGGCTGTTGAATGTTGTTACTTGCAAGAGGACCAAACACCTGTAGCTGCCAATGAAGTATAAAAACAGAAGTCAGAGGAGACTTTGGATACCTGAAAGTTACAGAATTTTATGTACTTATCCAAGTGCTTACAATGATTAAAGTAATTATATTAGAGAACTATTGCAGAATCACAGAGATGAAGGACTGTTAAGGTTCTTAGGAAAGCCTCTGGCTCCATCCCCTGTATTGATGCAGGATAAGAATACCTAAAGCATATTTGATACTTTTGTTCAGTTTTTAAAAATTTTCAACAAAGGAGCTATTATAAAATCAAAAAATAGTTGTCTCCCATGTTTCATCACAGAAACCATTGGAATGTTTGTGCTGGTACAAAACCCACATTTTTGTTTATTGCAAAAAAAAAAACAACTATCCTAATTTCTCCTTGTTTATCTCCATTGGCTGTAGAGACCCTCAGATCAGCTTGCTTTCTCACAACTTTTTGTATGTGGAAGACTCTTTTATTCCCATACAGTCTTCTCTTTCCTAGACCAAATACCCCTTCCTTCTTCCCTGCCCCCCCCCAATAAATCTTCTTTGAAAATGTATGCCCTATCTCACCTGACTGTCAAATTTGAAATCTGTAAAAATGAAGAACATGAGATAAATAGAAAGTCACCATAAGGAATTCAAGGTGGCATATTAATTTGAAAACAAAATGATCTTTCTTTGGAAGCATAGGTACTTAGATCTCAGTTATTAATTTATTTCTAAGCATAATTATTCATATTTTGATCAGCATAGAACTGAACAGCTCCAACTGGATGGGTGATCCTCCTTGGAGTAAGGCATTCCACAAACACCTGGTCCTGTCTCCAGCAGTTTTTGGTCAGAGATGACTCCTTTATAGCTGTTCACAGCTTCTTTAATAAGAAATGGTTTGAGTGTGAGCAATTTGTATTTGTCATGTGTTCCTTAAACCTTCTAAAATTTTGTCATTTAAAATGCTATTCTGGACTTAAGTTCACAAAAGCTTGTTAGAGAGTGCATCAGGTCCTGTTTTTTCCTAACAGCCTTCAGGTTATTTGAATTATTGATTTGACACATATGGATTAAATGAGAAAATTTTCATTATGATTGTTAAGTTCTGATTATGTTACAGGGTACTGCCTGGATTGGAGTAATTGGTGCAGATGACAGCGTGGTTACCACATACAATGTCACGGCTGGTCAAGTGATCTTCTTCCCTAGAAACACTGTGCATTGGGTAAAGAATGTAGGATCAGAAGACTGTCTGTTCTTGCTGTTTTTTACAACACATGAAGAACTTCAGACCTTGGATGTAGATGACGCATTTTTCTCTACCCCAGAGGATATAGCAGCTAGAGCATTAAAGGTCTGTATGATAGGATAGCCAGCCTCTATCTAGTCATCTACATGTTAACATGGCAGTCCAGGCTCTCTCTCTCTATTTTTTGGAGACGATCCTCCCACCTCAGCTGTTCTTTTTAGTCCCATCGGTGCGGAAGGGTGTACACATGTCCTTTGTGTAACACTGTGCCACCCTGTGTTCCTTTATACACAAGGAGAAATAAATGATGACGCCCTCTCCAAGAAACTTTTTCTCCTCCACTCTTCACATTTATCCCCAGTTCACAGAGGGCCCTCCATATTTCCAAAGGTGTAAGGGAAAATAACATAGTGAAGCCCCAAGTTAATTTCCCAACAGCCCCTTGATGAGTTCTGTGGTATGAGAAGATCTCATAGGAGACTATAGATAAGTCCATCTTCTTGTTAAAACAGATCTTACTTGAACAGACTAGTTGGCAATGTCCCATGAGCAAGAGTATGGCCACAGAGTTTCTGCTGAGTCTGAGCAATCTGCATGTTCAAATCACAGAATTGTGATAGACCTTCCCACCCTGAAACAGTCTGATGGGAGATTGATCGAGTTTCCCTTCTGCTCCAAATCTCTGTGGTAACTGAGAAGGAAGGGCAAAACAAAGGAGCATAACAGAGTATTGACAGGGTGAGGCAATTAAAGAGATGAGGTATGTCCACAAGGCAGAATGTCTACCACCAGGTACTAAGGTGGGATATTCAATGAAGCAAAATTTTAAATCCACAGTTTGCTGTGTGCCTCTGTCAGCTTAACATGCATTGTGTGTTCCACAGCCACAAGGTGGAGTTAACTTCATCAGAACATTCAAGAAACAAGTAGAAGATCAAGCAATTAACCTCCCACCAAATTTAAATGAACTTGTACAAAATGCTACGTATGTGCAGTCTCCAGACAAACTTGTATGGCAGTACTTCTACGATCTCAAAGGTATACATCTAGGAACTTTGTACGTAAGAGCTCTCTGTGTTTCTAGAGGGGGAGAGGAGTGGATCCGTAGTCGATTCACTGAAACAGGAGTTAAAAAGTAGATAGAGAAATGATAAGAATTTAAGGAAATAAAATGAAAAATGTATTGGTAATACATCTAATTACTGCCCGATTCTTATCTCAAAGTGGTTTACCCTTTTGATTTTAATGTTTCTATCTGCAATAGTAGATATGAAAGCAGAATGCCAGTAAGCAGCAGGGCATGAACTAAATACTTCCCAGCTCAAGGTTCTCTACTTATGTCTATAAACAGGACTGGTGTATTCCCTGCTACAGTTAAGTTAAGCAATAACCTAAACTTTTCATTCAGAAATTAAAATCTAACAGGCGAGGAAGCCCTGCAGCAGATTAGCTGGAGAGTGACTGGTGCTGACCTTCTTAGAATATCTTGCATCTGCATAAGAAACATCAGTGAATAAACAACTTAACAGATACCTAATTATGTCCTGCCTTTTCTTTTACAAATATAACTTCATAAACAGCATTGAACCATATTCACTGTTTGATTTATCAACAATTGTATTAAACATCCCTCTGTATAGCCTAGATCTAGTGATTATCAGTGAGCGCCTAATAAACATAGATGGCAAAACTTAATTCCAAGTAGTAGAGTCTATTCAAAAAGCTATAAAAGCAAATATAGGTCAGAGCTCCACACACAGCTGATAGAGGTCATGAGAAATAGATGTGTGACAAAAATCTTCACACTTGGACCAAAACGTTCTTCTGCATTGGCAGTACTTTACAAAATATTGTGATACACAATCCGTGCCATAAAGGTTAATATGAATTAATGTACTGAAAGTTAGCATGTTCTTTAAGTGTATTGTTATTGATAGCAATTTGGGATAGAAAAAAATCTAGTCAGAGCTATTCATTATGATTATCTGACTACAGAAAAATACGGTAAAGGAGATTGCATAGTGTCTAGTGCATGAAGGATAGAGAAGCTAAATGGGCTTTCTTTTTGGTTCCAGAGCCTCATAAGATTCAAGGCTTCAAGTTTAGTGCATAATAATAACTTGAAGTTGGCCAATATACTAATAAGCAATGTTAACCAAATCTTGTTGGAAATGCTCATTTAGCTGTCTTTGTTTTAGGGTCAGCAAAATATCCTTTTCCAGGAGGAATCTTCCAGTGGGCTCGCTACCGCATAAATGGCACTGGACTAAATGAAACAGAAAAAATTTTTAGTGAGTCACTGAACAAGGTACGTGCTTTTAATTGGATACCATAGATTTATAAACATAAGGCATAGTATGCAGTTTCTGTGGGTTCATCACTGCTTTGTCATGTATAAGAGGGATATAACAAACTTTGACGGTTTTCTGAACATTTTTGTTCTGCTTTTCAGCATGAAAATACCCTTACCTTAGCAACTCTCAGGATATTCAGCAATGGACTGGGGCAGCCTCACTTCCACTTCAATGCTAACGAGATGGGTTATGTCATTAGCGGCTGTGGACAGGTAATTTGTTACGTGGGTGAGGGATAAGTCAGTGGAGTTTTGGCTGTAAAACAATTACAGATCTAATAACTGATTCCCAGCCCTGATTAATAACACTACAGTTAGCAGTATTACAAAACTTTCAGTGTCCACACTTTCCTTCTCCATATAAAATTTTGATCTCAGTTACATTTGTGGAAGCTTGTCTAGCCAAAGTGGAGTTATACAAAGAGCAGAATTTGTCCATCTTGTTAAGTTGTTCAGCTAAATCACAAATGCTCATTACAGGAATTGCCACTCTCCTGAATGCTGGGAGTACAAAATAGAAAAGCAATGCTTTTGATTTAGCACCTCTGAGGAACAGATAAATAGAAAAAAGTTTAGTGAGTATTAAGGTTTAGAGTACAAGATTTTATTATGTTTTTCACTCAGTTCAAATTTGAAGTGCAAAGATAATTGAGATGGAATGATGAGACTCCATAACGTAAGGACTTACCATGTTCTTACTCAGGAATTTGCCTAGGACCCCTCTACCTTTCTGGATTCTCAGTGAAAGCACTGATGCTACACTAGCTGATTTCAGTGCAGTGCTGGGACCGTCACTGTGTATTTATCCAGTAACAGCACACTGAAAATTGTTGTTGAACATTGCTGCTTTACTTGCAATAGGCTGGAGTTATTCTCTCTGGAGTCACTGCCAACTTCAACATTGGCATTGGAGATGTCATATTTTTCCCTGTTGGAACCCAACATTATATCAAGAGCTTATGTGATGAGGATTTGCTTTTGATTCTAGCCTACAATACAGGAAACCAGGTGAGAATTCATATGGGCAAGGGAAGAAAAAAAATGTTCAACTATGTTTTTCTCAGGCACGTAAGCTTTATGCTTCATGCTTCAATGCACACCTTTCAAAAGACATTCTAAGAATATGTCAAGTACACTGACAGTTAAAATTCCCTTCTGGTGTGAGTGGTTGGCATGCAACACCTATCACTCTGTATTGGAAACAGGAGGTGGGAAAGACAAAAAAAAGGTCCGTGGTAGGGTGTGACATGCTCCCGTGTGTGTGTGCATGTGTGTATAAGAGAGGTGGAATTCAGATCGTGTTTGTGCATGAGGTACTGCTGGTGTTTGAGAGAGGGAGCTTGTCCTTGGGTGGACTGGGCAGGGTCTTTACAAGCTGAGCACCCACAAAAGGCAGAGATCTCTGTACGACTTAAACAAGTCTATATCCTAAGAGTCAGGGCAAGGGTGTATTTATTTAAGGTTACACATATCCAGTGATCTTGATAGCCCAGTGTAAGACTTGTCATTAGTTATATACTTTTATATAAATTCATTTTCATCTTGGATTTGAGGTGCACTTTAATATTCCGTATTATTAATATTGTAAAAATGATCAGGTAGCTGTGATTATTCTTCTTAAAATATTGTCTTTTTCTTCATAGCTGGAAACTCTTCGAATGAATGACTACTTCCATGGAACGGCAGACCATATCCTCGCTCAGCTTTTTTGGAAGGAACAGGCTGAGTTTAAGAAGTTCCCAAAGCCTGCCAAAAAATCAGGCAAATAACCTCTCTTAGCAGTTAATGGCTCCAAGATCACCATGTTTCTACCAGTACTTTTTGGTACCTTTCTTGCTATTTATCCAGAAGAGATGTTCAGAAAAAAAGAATAATCTGGGGTTATTCATTATAAAAAGTTGTTTTCTTTCTGTATTTTTATAATGTTTTATTTATAGTGCAATGTAATTTGATTAGTTATATATTAAAGTAATTTCTACCATTACAATTGCCTTTTGCTCTGTATAATATCCATTATCCCACCGTATCTCTTCCCTCACACTACTGAGGTTTGCATTGATTTTCTGTCATGTAGACAGTGCTCTTATCTAGCAGTGTCTCTACACAAATGCAGCGTCTATACACAAACCAGGTCGTGTGTTATAAGCCCCGCATCTTACAGTGATGGCAGGAATGAACTCACCATACGTTCAGGTCATGTTCACTCTCCTTCCGCTAACTACACTCCTCTCAGTGGGGCACTGTGTTAGAATTTAGGACAACTAACTCCTTTTCCTGACTTTGCCACCAAACTGCTATCTGGTTTTGGAAGAAATATTTGAGGCTAGATTCTCAGCAGAAGGTAGACTCAGTAGCAGATAAGCTCTGTGTTAGGCACCTGTGCTTCCCACACAAAAGGTGGGGAGAGATAAGCACAAAAAAACTGGGCCAAAAAGAAGCAAAGATGATTTCCCAGATTGGCATCTATGCCATTTTATTGTGACCCTCAGGTTCCCGTTCCTTCTTGCATAAATGTTTAATCACAGTCAACAGGATGGCTGCAGCAGGGAGGCAAGGAGATCTTTCTCTTTTCCCCATGGCTTAGGGCACTTTTTTTTTTTTTTTTAATCTTGTGAAATACTTGCCTAGTTCAGGGGGTTTGATCCTGTTTTGATTTAAAGCGGTTTACTGATTTAATATCCACACATAATAAACAAGGATTCAGTGAAATATTCAGTAGGGATTCCATTTCATTTCTTATCGAGGCTCTTGGTAATCCCCTGGCTACTCTTTAATCTGGCCGAAGGTCATCCTTCCCTCCAGCAAACATCCCACCACCTTGGGGTACTCCACTCGCAGGTGCTGCCATGCTCCGGTTCCTACTGCACCGGCCGGGCTTGTCCTGGCTGTTGGCAGAGCGGGGTGAGCGGCTGTGCGGGTCCCCGCAGCTCTCTCCGCTGCCTCTCCGGGAGGATTTTGTGAAGCCGTTTGGTGGCCGTGCTCCGGCTGGGGCTTGCAGAGCAGACGGGAGAGGGAACGCCCAGACTGCAGACCCCAACGGGGCTGGAACATCGACCTGTTCGTCGCCTTCAAGACAACACGTTGTGTGCGTGTCCAGGAGGAGAAATTTCACTGTCACATAATTAACCCACAGCCCAGCGTTGGTTTTAAAGGCCAGAAACAATGCCTAAAATAGGAGTTGGACGTAAAAGGCTTGATACGAGCTAGCTCAGGACACTGCTGTCCCACCAGAGCTCACAGGAGCAGGATTTCTTCTGTGCTATGTCCTCACTGGCCACCGCCTGGCTTTGACCCCAACCTACCAGGGCTGAATAAGCTCTCCCAGTCATGCTGCACCCCAAGGGCTGGACACCTGGATTATTATTATTAGGTTATTAAGTGCTTTCAGGTGTTAGGAGAGAAACAGGCTGGTTTCTCAGGTGTGGGGAATCAATCAGCCCAAGGCTCTGCTTTAAAACAATTCAGCTGGGCAAAGGAAGGTTTAAATGTGGGGTTCTCAGCTGAGATGTTCCTTGGGAGGTCCAGAGGCACCTACCAGGTAGGGGAGAGGGGGTTTTTTTTGCAGATGGGAAAAGGTAGTTTGCTGAGGAATGGGGAAGTGGGGTTTGTTCTGCTGTTGTCCTGTTCCATTGCTGTGCTGGAATACCAGACTGAAATCTGTGGTCTCTTGCCTCAATGGCCGTGATGTCTCCTGTCCTCTGCCCTCCTGAGCCCTGCGCTCCCGAGGCACGGTGTTCGGAAGTTGTTTATAGGTACCCACCAAATACTTCTGTGCCTGGTTTTAGCTAGTGCTCTCAGTTGTGTGCTCTTAGGGCTGGGGTTGACCTGTAACCTGCTGTTGGAGAGGTTTGGTTTATCTCTTGTGTCTCACTTTTTTTGGTGTGCTGCTTTTATTCCATGTTGTATTTGACCACAAGCTACTCTTTAAAATATATATTGTTAGATTTGGGTCCTTCACCCAGGCAGATGCTATTATTGCCCGTGTAGAGCAGGACAGTGCCTGTCAGTAAAAGGGGATGATCATGTTGATAATAAAAGAGAGATCTAAAAGTGTTAAAAGCCTGGAATTTCTAATTTGTATTTTGCCAGCTGATCTTTGTGAGTCCCCAGATCCTGAGGGGTCACAGAAGGGTGTGATTAGCGTGTGCTACATAAGCAAACCATGGGAAATGTTCGTATAGTACACTTCATCATTCTATTTAGCTCTATGAACTACTTCATTAAGACTCACAAGGAGTGGGGTTCAGGTACCAGCGCTTCTGTAGGTACATTTCTGGAGCCCTGAGGGAAATTGGGTTGTCTAGCAGTCTGTTGCTGTTTGGCTGTAAACATCTTAGCCCACCTGCTTTACTCTGTGCTGGTCTGCTTAAAACCCTGTGCACCGCGAGTAGGGCGAGTGCACTCTGGAGAACCTCTTGGAAGGACCGTGAAGTGAGATGCATCGCTGTCATTTAGCAGGCCGTAATGAAATGATCATTGCCTTGCACATCTGAATCAATCGGGTTAACAGCCTGCGAAATGCACTTTCTGAAAGCGATTACTGCCCCGTCAGCTACTGCAGCCGTGCCCTTGTGCTTCAAAAGCAGGCTTGCATTTGTGAACACTTTATTTTTGTTTGGTTTTTACTAAATAGCTAGCATGTTTTTTTCAGACTTAATTTTTTTTTAATTAAATCTTGGTCTACTGATTGCAGACTGATCCTTCAGCTGAGTGAAGTGCTTTTTACTTAGCTGTAATTGTGTATCCATGTGGACTGGCTTTATTATCCGTCTTACAGATGTGCTGGTTTTAATTCTCCTTTAACTTTTACCAATACTGTTAACCCAGCTATTCTCACCATAGCTTCTTTAGGTGTCAGTCAACCTCTGGGCTGGTGTCAAATCTGTCTTCAGCTGACCACAGTGGGATTTAATGCGGTGCTGAGTCGCGTTTCCTGACGGGCTGTCCGTTCGGGCCGATGTGTCATCGGGGCTGCCTCCCACTTCCCCCTTTGGGAAAATCCCCTTTCCTGCCCCATCTCCATGCTGAGCCGTTCCCTGGAGGTGGCCGATGTCATGCTAAGCGGGTTTTATAGCAGAAGGTGCAATAGGGTTTCTGTAACCAGCTGCCATAAACCGAAGGGTTCATGTACCCCGTACAATGCTCCATGGTTGTGTTTTTTTTTCTTGGGAGGGTTTATCCTTTTCCAGACCTGGCACTGTGCGTTGTCATTACAGGTGCACATTTTACAGCCTGGCAAAGCTTTACTCCTGATGGAGTTTGACTGGTTTCCTCCTACAGAAAACTATCTGTAAAAATTTGATGGCAGTGAGAGATTAGCACAGGACCATTCGGAGGCTTTTAAGCTCCTTGAATCCACCGACCGTATTCGGCTCGATGCCAGGGCTCGCTGCTTGCCAGTCAGGCAGGAGCTTTGCAAGGCTTATGGGTCGCATCTGCCTGGGTTAGCAGAGCTGCTGAATGGGGAGATGCAAATTCTTCAGCCAGTATGTGCTCTGGAAAGCTGCTTGAGGAGGATATCTTGGCCCCAGGGGCTGGGGGCTGTTCCCACCAGGGCTTGAGGAACCTCCCCAAACCCCCATGTTGTCACTCTCAGCAGGGACAAGTACTGGCAGCACGATGCAATGGAGGCAAAATGTAGGAACCCATTGCAACCTGGTTAAAAAAAAAAGGCAACAAAACCCCCTCACTCCAACTAATAAAAAAAGCCCCTAAATCTATTGAAACTTTTTTTACTAATTCTTAAAGAAGTATCAGAGTTCATGTCTATTCATGCAGCTGTGCTGCACTCCCCTTTTTGTTTGTTTTCTGATGTTTAACAGCTAAATAGTCTCATCTTACTAATATTGCCATTATAACAAGTAACCTGCACTGTTCTTCTGAGCCTGCATCATGTTCTGTGAACAGGCACACGCACAAACATCTCCTACAACGTTTTCTGTTGAGATCCCACCAGCTAAAAAGCCGTGGCAGGGCTTGGTAGCATCTCAAGAGGTCTAGATAGAGGATGATTTAATAATTAAACCTGCTCTGTACATCTCAGTCCTGCAGCTTCCTTCTCAGGTCAGTGAGCCTTTATGGCCCAGGTGAGTTTTATAGATCCCAAAGGACAAAAGGAAATTTCCTGCTTTTTGTTGTATGTTCTGATCACAGCCAGTTTAGAAACGTTGAGAAATCTTTATCTTTCTCTAGCAATGCAAACACAGCCAAACAGAAAAGCCAGCCCACACCCTGACCGTGGACAACCTGCGTGGTAATGATTCATCTCAGAAGCTGAAGGACCTTTTGAAGACAAGCCAAGAGTTTCTGGATTTGAGTTAGTTTTTGATGGCTGCAGAGCTGGAAGTAGCTTACCTTGTTTTATAGAATGATACTGCTAATTATAGGGGTGGCATCCCTTTGTAGTCCAGGGTTATCCATTCTCCCAGCTGGGGGCTTGCCAGCACCCTCGAAGGTACCTGCCAAGTCCTTTGTGGGTTTATGGGCTGTCGTTAGCCTGGGCAAACAGAACACGTTCAAGGTGAGCACGGGCACCACACGGCAGCTTCACCGGCAGCTCCACGGAGGAGATGGGTTTCCCTGGATGGGTCAGTGCAGGTGGCTTTTAGGGCAGCGATGTCTGTGGGGACCCTCTGTTTGAAGGCTACCAAAATGCACACTGAAATGAAAATAAAACCGGGCCATTAAATTGTCTGCCCCAAAGGAGGCAGGGATGCTGCTTATTTCCCTCTTCAGTCAGGCAGGAACGTAACAAATCGAGCAGCAGCAT